TGGTTTAGGGTTTTTAAGGTTTGGGGGGGGGGTTTTTCTAACAGTGGATTTGTTTTGATCTCACAATGGGGGGGTTTTTTTTTTGTGGGTTTTTGGGTTTTAGGTGGGTTTTGTTTTTGGGAAACCCCCGGCATAAATAGCATAGGTTTAGGTAGTGGGAGAAACATGAATAGTAATAGTTTAAGCAAGGCCCCTTTGTGGGAAATTTGTAATGTTTCGTAACTGAGAAGATACCAACTGTTTTTAAAAAACTTATTTTCTGATTTTTGAATAAAAGGATATGACAGGAAAACATAGGGTATGGATTGAGATATTAAGGGAAAAAAGCTACGTTCTTCCCCCATATAATATACAGTAGGTACCGACAAACCCCTGCTGGGCCAACCCAATTTGGTGCAATATAAAAGTATAAAACCCTACCCCCCAGATAAGGGCAAACCCCCCATCATCCGAAGCATAAAAGCAACAGAGTACAAGAAAGACTACCCAAGGGGCCCCGACCCGATGCCTTTTTTTTACTGGGAATCCATTATGAAAAGTTCCCCCACTTTCGAACTCAAAAATAGCACACAACTTGGGGTTTTTAAAAACCTTTGACAACCGAGGGAGGAAAGGGGAAAAGGGAAAATTAAAACATTTAAAATTTTTTTTTACTTTTTACTGCCTCTGGGGCTGAGAAACCCCAAATTAAAAAACCACTACACAACTCTCAGGGAAAAAGAAAATTTTCCCAATCGGGGTTTAAACATTAAAAAAAGAATTTTTTCCTTGGGGCTTCCTAAAATAGTCCCTGTGCCTTTGCATATGATTAAAATTTGACCTGGTGGGAACTGAAAATCTTAAAAAACCCCAAAAGGGTTTTAAATACTGTACCTCATTTCCCCCTTATTAAAAAATTGGGAGAGGATGAACATCCAACATATCAACCCAAAAGGAACAAGAAATATATCCCCAAATACTAGCAGCCCCAGGAACCACCTTCAACCTCAAACTACCACCAACACTGCCTTTCTAGCTCTACCTCCTTCTAACCACCAAATACAGCAGCTCCCAAACCACTTCAACCTCAAACTACCCACACTGCTTTCCCAGTCCTACCCTCTTGTCACACAAAAAATCTCAGCAGCCCCAGCAATCACCTTCAACCTCAAACTACCACCAGCGCTGCCTTTCCCAGCTCCTACCCTCCCTTGCCAACCACACAAATACCAGCAGCCCCAGGAACCACCTCCAACCTCAAACTACCACCAACACTGCCTTTCTCAGTTCCTACCCTCTTTTGTCAACCACACAAATCCCAGCAGCCCCAGGAATCACCTTCAACCTCAAACCACCACCAGCACTGCCTTTCCCAGTTCCCACCCTCCCTTGTAAACCACAAAAATGAAGAAAAAAATAAATTAACAATAACCAGTAAACAAAGGAAATAACGGATACCCCACAAGGAAAGAATAAAAAAAAACCCCCGATGTTTTCCAACACGGACCCTGCTATTAAATAATCCAACAGGGCCACTGACAACAAAAATCCAACATGGACCACTGACATCAATGGCCATCTTTTATCTGTCGGTGTGCACACAAATGACATTCACCTAAAAAGGGGAAAAGGGCAAAGGGTTAAAATATTTTTTACTCACAAATCAGGGAGCGCAGGGAACCCCATATTACTTTTGCCACCAAAAAAAAAACCCCTCAGGGGGTGCAGCAACCATCACGCAGTGAGAGATCCAGTCAAATCTGATTCCCATCCCTAGAGAAGAAAATTTTTACTTTTAAAAACTTTTCAAACAGAATATTATTATCTATTGTTGGATTAAAAGAGTTTTTCCCTAAAAAATAAATCTCCCCCCTACTTTAGGCCATCCAAAAAAATTCTAATGCTTAGCCCAGAGCTCATTACAAACCAGGCTAGAGAGCATTTTGAGCCCTCTCATGTTTGAATATGGATTTTTGCACGAGAGCCTAAATAAAATAAGAGGTGGCCCACTTTATAGAACTTCGTTTTACACGTTACCCATTACAGCTTTTTACAATACAGCGTTTTCAATTACACCTGTTCTTTTATTCAGCCTTCTACAATATAAATACACCTACCCCTCCACTTACCCCGTGTTTTTTATCCCAAAATTTGGAAATAAAAAATTTTTGGGGGGTACACAGTGTTTATCCAAAACCCTTACAGAAAAAAATACAGTACTAACAACATAAAAATTAAAGTAAAACATGAAATACCAAAATAAAACAATAAAATAAAGTCATTACAAAAATGTTTTGTTGATATTCAGTAGTAAAGTTTGACTTACGACCCTTTCGATTTTTCGATGGTTTCTGGGGAAACCAAACCGTCGAAAGCGAAGGTAGGTGTACATTCACCATTCACTATAAGCTAAGGATGAAAATATTTTAGGGTAATTAATTTGTGCATTTTTTAGACCTAGCTTTATTGCTCACTTAACCCTTTGACTGTCGCAACCCCCAATCCTGAGGTGTCTCCTGGTGTCACAAAATTTAAAAAAAAAAAAAATTATTTTTTTTTTATGAAATGAAGAGAATCTTTTCCCCCATTGTAAGACACCAAAAAACCAAAATTTGTGAAAACTGACGGAATTTGCTCTCGCAAAGTTAGTGACCTCGGGCTGTTTTCAAATCGGCGATTTTTGCCCCCTTTGAGCCCCATTTTCGGCAATTTCCCCTTTTTTCCAGTCGCCCAAACTCATAGCTATTTTTTTAGAACCCCCTTTTTTTTTTTTATCGATTTAGTAAAGAAATGCCCATTTATCGATTTCAACTACCCAATAATGTTTTTTTGAAATTTCAATTTGGGCCAATTTCACGAAAAAATAAAAAAAATGACAATTTCAAAATAAGGCCGAATGAACAATGCAGACATTCCTGGCTCTAAAAAAAACATTTTTTTTTGTTCATCAGTCACTCTCCGCCCCCTGAATTTCTTTCCCTTTTTATTTTGAATTTTTATTCAAAAAATAGAAACTTACCATTATGCAACTACTGCAATACGTAATAATTGATAAATAACTCAACTCATTTATGACGCTATTAAATGGCTATTGGACATTTATTGGACAATGGCATCATTTTTTTTCTTTTTAACATTTGGGAAAAACAAACATTTCCCCCACTTTTAGCTCCCTTTCTAGGTTTTTTTATAGTAAAATCAATAAAACACCTCTATTTTTGTAATATTTTTCCATTCTACAAATAGACCAAGAAAACGAGAAACAACAAAATACAACGAAAATAGACCACAAATTGGCTTTTAATTAAAAAAAAAAAAGGTCGGATTTTTTTTTCTCATTATCACTGGTCCCAGGTTTTTTTTATATGGGGCAAAAGACCACACAACCCTTCTCTCACATGTGGGGGACAGCTTTTTCCCCCCTTCTTGATTTAACCCAGAATTTTTTATATATATACTCAAAAACGTACCCCGTAAGACGATAATAGGCCGCGACAGCAAAGGGTTTATATTGATATGAAACATGGGTTTTTGGCTTTTATACATTTTCACTTTACAGCAGAGCTCAAACCTAACCGCTGTATAAGTAAGGCCCTACACCAGGAGGCCCCCCTTTACAAGGCCCCGTTCTGCCTACTGCGTAAAGTGAAAATTGTTGTAAAATGAAACACAACTTTTTAACTTCAATAAAAGCTTTATAACTCAACAGTAGAACATTTAATGAGCAATAGATTAGGCCAAAAAAATGCATATACACTCACACATTACTTTTTAAAAAAATTTTCGTCCTTACCAAAAGTATCAGTGGTGAAATTTTTAATAAGAAGTCTGAATAAATAAGAAAGCTATACCTGAAAACCGCTGCATTGGCAAGACAGTGATTAACACACTGTCCTGTGTGTTTTAGAACTCAGCTGCCATGGTTCAAGTCATGGGTTCAAGCCGTGGCCTGGCTGGCAAAGCTCTTGCTTCACACATGGAGGGCCCGGGTTCGATACCCGACAGAGTGGAAACATTTTGACGCGTTTCCTTACACATGTTGTCCTGTTCACCTAGCAGCAAATAGGTACCTGGGTGTTAGTCGACTGGTGTGGGTCACATCTTGAGGGACAAGATTGAGAACCCCAATGGAAATAAGACAGAGAGTCCTCGATGATGCACTGACTTTCTTAGGTTATCCTGGGTGGCTAATCCTCAGGGGTTAAAAATCCAAACGAAATCTTATCTCTTATCTATCTTACTCATTCCCTTATTTACAATACAACCTCTCCTCGCTTAACGACTGAGTTCTGTTCCTAAGACCACGTTGGTTAAAAAATTCATTGCTAAGTGAGGAGCATAATGGTACTGGGTTTGATATTGTTTTAATGTTACCTTTGTACAATTTAAAACATTTTTAGTATATTTTCAAATGTTTATACAGTAGTGTACTGTATTTTGTAATAAAAAGAATAGAGGAACTCGGCTCTAATATGCATAATTATTTGCAGAAGGAAGGCAGGGTAGGGGTTGTCCCCAAAAAGGTTGGAGGGAGGGGTGAAGGAGATTTTGTGGGCAAGGGGCTTGGACTTCCAGCAAGCATGCGTGAGCGTGTTAAATACTGGTCAGAGACTCCGTCATAAGTCCGAGTCGTCGGTAAATGGGTATGTCACTAAGCGAGGAGAGGCTGTAATTAGATACTGAAACAGGTTAACAAGAGGAGTCAAGGCAGGGATCCGAGTCTCTTAATGCAGTAGTGCACAAAACTATTTTCCAAAGATTCCTGATATGACTTTTTTGTGGTTGAAATGACATATCTGACAATTATGAAGACCAAAAAAAAATAAAAGCTTGTTCTGCAACTTGTATGATTCATCCAACTAGATATATTTATACACCATAGGGAGGTTAGCAAGGGTCCCATGACCACAAATAACAGCTTTGAGGAGACTTGAGCTAGAGTTCATCATGGCCATGCTGGCAGGAGATTCATCTGCCAAAACTTGCATTTGTAGTCACAGTGGGACTCATGCTAACCTCCCTATGGTGTAGAAATATACCTAATTGGATGAATCTTACTGTAGTCAGCAGAGGCATTGTAAGGGGAAGGGTGGCAGGGGGGCAGGCTGCCCTGGGTGACACCATTTAGGGGGACGCAATAGAGCCTCTAAAGGTGACACTAATGTACAGAACAGTGCTGCACCAACATACGAGAAGAATCCTTTGTTTCTATGTAGCCTATTATATATTAACAAAGTACAAATAAGCCTATATAGGGAAAATCATTGATTTTGATGATGTGAGAGAAGATTTTGCATAATTGAAGGCAAGAAAACGTAAGATCAGATTCACTGAGATGTTACCTGTACTCAAAGTCAAATCGTAACAAGTGTTTCTCTGATATTGCAATGTTTTTCTTTATTTTTCAAGTTTTTTTTTTTTTTTCTTTGAAGTTGAATAAGTGTAGGATCTGTTGCCTGTACTCAAAGTGGTATTCGAGTTTGTGTTTCCTCAATATTACTAAGATTATTTATCATTAATAAAGTTGAGAAGTATTCTCCTGTTTGGTTTATGGCCCTTAAATGGGGGTGACACCAAAGATGTTGCCCCGAGTGACACCAACTCTAGCGACACCTCTGGTAGTCAGCTGGCCCAGTGGCTTATGTACTGGACTGGAGTTTTACCGCTCACTTGCCACAAGTTCAAGCCCCATCTGTACAGTAGTTTGTTTGTAATTGTGTCATTATGACCCTTCAGGGTGCAGGTGTTGTACTTCTCACCTCTAGGACTGCAACACTCCCACCCTTCCATCAGTGCATTCACAGTTCATTGCTTAATTTTTTCGCTCACATAATCATTTCATCTTTACACAGACAAAATTACAAGACAAAGCTACAAATATTTTGTCTTATTACCCAATTAATACCATAATAAAAATCTGAGGCCATATATAAATTGAGAGTACTTTTTTTTGACCTACCATCCAGCAATGACACTGTCAGCGGTGTTCCCATTCTCTCCAAGATATCATTGTCTGCCACATGTATACTGTTTATATTCTCACTGTCAGGATCTATGATAGCTGTGTCGAGTGTGTTTCTTCGTTGATTTTCTGCAGGGATGTCCATTGCCTGGGTAGTGAGATTATTCCAATTTTGAAATTTATTAGGATTAGCGAAGGATGTTAACGGGTATCAATCATCATTAGTACATATCACAGTGTGTCAACTCACTAAATACAAGAGGGACTACATATACAGTATCTGTTTTTGGTGTTCCACATTTTCCTTGGCTTTCAACTGAGCCATTGCTCAACCTGCTGATGACAATCGCTGGCAAGTGGAATATAATGAACAATGGCTCAATCTGAAGCCAATGAATATGTGGAACATCAAAAGCAGGTGCTGTATATGTGGTGTTCTGTATGCACTAGAATAATCAACTCAACCTACCTTCTAGTATGACAATGTTTGTCTAGCTAATTCCCCTGTATACCTTCACATATATTATCTTGCACATGTTTCAGCAGTTGTTCAAATTCACAAAATCTTGTTCCTCATCACTTGAATTTCTCACATTCTCTCACACACAGACACACTCACCTCTCCACTTATATACACACACCCACCTTTCTCCCTTCATCTATTCTAAGATTCACCTCTTTCATAGAACCATCTAATGACATATCCCAAATATTTAAACACATTTACTTTCTCTATACTCAATTCCTTCAATCTGATATTCAATCTATCATTGTCAAGGCCTTTTATTACTCTCATTGCTCTTTTCCATGTTAACTTTTAATTTCCTTCTCCTATATATCCTACCAAATTCAGTTGCTGAAATATATAATGTTTCTTCAGAATCTTCCAAGAGAAATGTCATCAGTGGAGACTAACTGGAAACTCCCACACTGTATCTGATCCAGCATTTTCTAAGCCCACACCTTTTTCCAACATCCGAGCATATTTCTAATGAAGATCCTAGCATATCTCTTGCCAACATCCAAGCATCTCTCTTGCCAACATCCTAGCATCTCTCTTGCCACCATCCTAGCATCTCTCTTGCCAACATCCTAGCATCTCTCTTGCCAACATCCTAGCATCTCTCTTGCCAACATCCTAGCATCTCTCTTGCCAACATCCTAGCATCTCTCTTGCCAACATCCTAGCATCTCTCTTGCCAACATCCTAGCATCTCTCTTGCCAACACCTTAACATTCACTTTTACAACCCCATCTATAAACCGGTTAACAACCATCCTTGTCTAAGTAGTACTTTAAAGAACATAAAAGGCACAATACCTGACTGGAACAACACACAAATAACCCGCACATAGGACAGAGAAACTTACGACGACATTTCTCTCTGACTTGTACCATTTACAAAGACACACTAACACACAAAGGTGAGGGAGCCAGTATATATATATTAGAGGGGGACAGGGACTGTGACTTTGTAAATGGTCCAAGTCAGATCGTTATTGTAAGCTATTCTCTCCTATTTGTGGGTTATCTGTGTGTTTTACCATTCTGAACACTACATCAGTGCCTCCAGCCTTCTCACTGCAACAAAATCCATGCCTCACACCCACACAAGGAGTCCACCAAAGTAATAGAGCAAGATGAATGTAACAATACCCTCATGCAATATACGAATAAGCACACAATGGTTATCTTACCTGAGCTTTTGACCAATGTAGATAAGGACTCTTGCACTAAACTCTCCGTTTGGGGTTCGAATTAATCAGTCTGCATGAGGCTCGTCTCTTGTGGTGAATACAGAGGCTGCGAGAGTAATCCTGATGCAGGATATAAAGGATCAACTGGAGAACAAAGGGAGAGTGAAGAGAGCGATGAGAGAAGTTCTGGTGAATATGAGAATCCATCTTGTACACTAGTGATACCAATCTCTTCACATTCCTGACTTGAAAGGGCTTGACCATCAAATACCACCTGCAATTAAATGTTGATATCAACAAATTTCCTGTAAATATGTTTATTTTACAACCCATGCAGCGAGGAGGTGGCTGGAGGCAGTGGAGATGTCCTGTCTAAGGGCAATGTGTCGTGTAAGTATTATGAAGAGAATTTGTAGTGTGGAAATTACGAGGAGGTGTGGAGTTACTAAAAGTATTAGCCAGAGGGCTGAAGAAGGGCTGTTTAGGCAGTTTGGTCATTTAGGGAGAATGGAACAAAGTACAGTACGTGGAACCTCAAATATAGAACTTTCTTCAGTCCAGAAGGCTGTTCAAGTGTCGCTACTGAACGAATTTATTCCCATCAGGAATAATGTAAATTAGATTAGTCCATTTCAGACCCTCAAAAATACACTTATGGAAGCACTTACAAAAATACACTTACATAATTGGTTGAGTTGGGAGCAGTTAGATTTTTGAGGTTCCACTGTACAGTGGAACCTTGGTATACGACCAGGTCCCTACTCGAGCAAAGCTCAGCATTCCACCAAACAAATACAACCTGGCAGAACTTCACTGTAAACTATTTCGTGTTTCTTCACATTTTTTATTTTTTTTGTATAAATAAGTCACCATAGATCCTACGACAATTAGTGATAACAGCCAACCAAACAGAAAATTGGTTGGGAAGAACTTGTTCGATACTCAAATGGAGCTGCACTCAAACAGCCTTCTGGAATGAATTAAGGTCGTATACCAACGTTCCAATTTAGAATGACTCGGAGAGCATATAAATCTGTAAGAGAAGGAAGGCGGGGTAGGGATCATTACCGAAAATGTTGGAGGGAGGGGGTGAAGGTTTTGTTGGCGAGGGGCTTGGACCTTCAGCAAGCATGTATAAGTGTGTTAAGTAGAAGCGAATGGATACGAATAGTTTTGGGGACCTGACGAGCTGTTGGAGTACGAGCAGGGTAATATTTTGTGAACCGATTTTGGGAAACCGGTTAGCCGGACATGAGTCCTGGAAATGGGAAGTACAATGACTGTACTTTAATGGAGGAGTTTGGGATATTGGCTGTCGTGTCTGAGCGTCAGAAAGTAAACAGAAGCATCAGAAAGTAAACAGAAGCATCAAAGTAAACAAGTATTGGAAAGTAAACAGATGCGTCGGAAAGTAAACAGATGCGTCAAAGTAAACAGAAGCGTCAAAGTAAACAGAAGCGTCGGAAAGTAAACAGAAGCGTCGGAAAGTAAACAGAAGCGTCGGAAAGTAAACAGAAGCGTCGGAAAGTAAACAGAAGCGTCGGAAAGTAAACAGAAGCATCGGAAAGTAAACAGAAGCGTCGGAAAGTAAACAGAAGCATCGGAAAGTAAACAGAAGCGTCGGAAAGTAAACAGAAGCGTCAGAAAGTAAACAGATGCGTCAGAAAGTAAACAGAAGCATCAGAAAGTAAACAGAAGCATCAAAGTAAACAAGTATTGGAAAGTAAACAGATGCGTCGGAAAGTAAACAGATGCGTCAAAGTAAACAGAAGCGTCAAAGTAAACAGAAGCGTCGGAAAGTAAACAGAAGCGTCGGAAAGTAAACGAAGCGCGGAAAGTAAACAGAAGCTCGGAAAGTAAACAGAAGCGTCGGAAAGTAAACAGAAGCGTCGGAAAGTAAACAGAAGCGTCGGAAAGTAAACAGAAGCGTCGGAAAGTAAACAGAAGCGTCGGAAAGTAAACAGAAGCGTCGGAAAGTAAACAGAAGCATCGGAAAGTAAACAGAAGCGTCGGAAAGTAAACAGAAGCGTCAGAAAGTAAACAGATGCGTCGGAAAGTAAACAGATGCGTCGGAAAGTAAACGGAAGCGTCAGAAAGCAAACAGAAGAGTCAGAAAGCAAACAGAAGTCAGAAAGCAAACAAGTCAGAAAGTAAACAGAAGTCAGAAAGCAAACAGAAGCATCAGAAAGCAAACAGAAGAGTCAGAAAGCAAACAGAAGAGTCAGAAAGTAAACAGAAGCATCAGAAAGCTAATGGAAGCGTCAGAAAGTAAACAGAAGTGTCAGAAAGTAAACAGAAGTGTCAGAAAGCAAACAGAAGTGTCAGAAAGCAAACAGAAGTGTCAGAAAGTAAACAGAAGTGTCAGAAAGCAAACAGAAGAGTCAGAAAGCAAACAGAAGAGTCAGAAAGCAAACAGAAGAGTCAGAAAGCAAACAGAAGTCAGAAAGCAAACAGAAGAGTCAGAAAGCAAACAGAAGAGTCAGAAAGCAAACAGAAGTCAGAAAGCAAACAGAAGCATCAGAAAGCAAACAGAAGAGTCAGAAAGCAAACAGAAGAGTCAGAAAGCAACCAGAAGAGTCAGAAAGCAAACAAAAGTCAGAAAGCAAACAGAAGTCAGAAAGCAAACAGAAGTCAGAAAGCAAACAGAAGCATCAGAAAGCAAACGGAAGCATCAGAAAGCAAACAGAAGAGTCAGAAAGCAAACAGAAGAGTCAGAAAGCAAACAGAAGCATCAGAAAGCAAACAGAAGCATCAGAAAGCAAACAGAAGCATCAGAAAGCAAACAGAAGCATCAGAAAGCAAACAGAAGAGTCAGAAAGCAAACAGAAGTCAGAAAGCAAACAGAAGAGTCAGAAAGCAAACAGAAGAGTCAGAAAGCAAACAGAAGATTCAGAAAGCAAACAGAAGAGTCAAAGCAAACAGAAGTCAGAAAGCAAACAGAAGCATCAGAAAGCAAACAGAAGCATCAGAAAGCAAACGGAAGCGTCAGAAAGCAAACGGAAGAGTCAAAGTAAACGGAAGCATCAGAAAGCAAACGGAAGCATCAGAAAGCAAACAGAAGAGTCAGAAAGCAAACAGAAGAGTCAAAGTAAACGGAAGCATCAGAAAGCAAACGGAAGCATCAGAAAGCAAACAGAAGAGTCAGAAAGCAAACAGAAGAGTCAGAAAGCAAACAGAAGAGTCAGAAAGCAAACAGAAGAGTCAGAAAGCAAACAGAAGAGTCAGAAAGCAAACAGAAGAGTTAGAAAGCAAACAGAAGTGTAAGAAAGCAAACAGAAGTGTAAGAAAGCAAACAGATGTGTCAGAAAGTAAACAGAAGAGTCAAAGTAAACTTTCCATACCCCCCCCCCAAGATGCGATCAGGTACTATATTTCAGGTACCTACTTCCTGTTATGTGAACAGGGGCAGCAAAAAGTGTAAAGCAGTAAGTAGGTACCTGGGTGTTAGTTACCTTACACCTGCTGTTACTGTTCACCTAGTAGTAAGTAGGTACCTGGGTGTTAGTTACTTTACACCTGCTGTTACTGTTCACCTAGCAGTAAGTAGGTACCTGGGTGTTAGTTACCTTACACCTGCTGTTACTGTTCACCTAGCAGTAAGTAGGTACCTGGGTGTTAGTTACCTTACACCTGCTGTTACTGTTCACCTAGTAGTAAGTAGGTACATGGGTGTTAGTTACCTTACACCTGCTGTTACTGTTCACCTAGCAGTAAGTAGGTACCTGGGTGTTAGTGGCATCCTGGGGGACAAAAGTGACCTAATTACCCAGAGGGGCATGTTTAAGTTATACATATTTATGTAAGTAAATATTATTACCTGGTCAGTAGGAGCGACGGTACCTACGTCCTCACACCTTCAACTCTACACTTAAAATGGCACCTGAGTTGTAATTCATAACTGGAGGTGCTACCTTCCCTGCACCTATGTAACACCACCACTGGTAACTCACCTAGTTAATATTCTCACTAATAGATGGTGCTGACACCACCACTGGTAACTCACCTAGTTAATATTCTCACTAATAGATGGTGCTGACACCACCACTGGTAACTCACCTAGTTAATATTCTCACTAATAGATGGTGCTGACACCACCACTGTAACTCACCTAGTTAATATCTCACTAATAGATGGTGCTGACACCACCACTGGTAACTCACCTAGTTAATATTCTCACTAATAGATGGTGCTGACACCACCACTGGTAACTCACCTAGTTAATATTCTCACTAATAGATGGTGCTGACAACCACCACTGGTAACTCACCTAGTTAATATTCTCACTAATAGATGGTGCTGACACCACCACTGTAACTCACCTAGTTAATATTCTCACTAATAGATGGTGCTGACACCACCAGTGGTAACTCACCTAGTTAATATTCTCACTAATAGATGGTGCTGACACCACCACTGGTAACTCACCTAGTTAATATTCTCACTAATAGATGGTGCTGACACCCACCACTGGTAACTCACCTAGTTAATATTCTCACTAATAGATGGTGCTGACACCACCACTGGTAACTCACCTAGTTAATATTCTCACTAATAGATGGTGCTGACACCACCACTGGTAACTCAACTAGTTAATATTCTCACTCATCAGTGAAATGGGTACCTGGGTGTTAGTGGACTGGTGTGGGTCACATCCTGGGTGTTAGTGGACTGGTGTGGGTCACATCCTGGGTGTTAGTGGACTGGTGTGGGTCACATCCTGGGTGTTAGTGGACTGGTGTGGGTCACATCCTGGGTGTTAGTGGACTGGTGTGGGTCACATCCTGGGTGTTAGTGGACTGGTGTGGGTCACATCCTGGGACAAAACTGACCTAATTTGTGGGAAATGCTCAACATAACAAGGGACTTTCTATACAGTTAATACATCATTGATGTCAGCTATGGTCTTTATACCTTATACATGTACTTGTAGTAAATATATATTATATGTACCTGTACCAAAATAAAGTTACCAGATGTGTAGCCATCCCTGTATATCTAGTAATCAGACTTGACAAGGATGGTCACAATCTAATGTTTAGTATAATCCATACAGGCCATTGTAGGAGATGCAGCATTTTGGACTGAGAGGGAGGCAGTGAAGCCTGGACATTGGGAGGGAAAGAAGAATGAGAAGTTAATTTCAGAATGGTACATGTTTGTACAAGAAATATAATAGTTGAGTGTACATGCCAAAAGCCCCTTTGCATGCAGAGCATTTCGGGCAAAGTTAAAACTTGGGTGCACTAGACAGGGGGCTGACTCTTGCTATCTTACAGACTGCCAGCAATAACTGCATCCCATGAGAGGGGCTTCCCAGTCCCCTTAGGAATGAGGAAGATCCCATCTGATGTGGTCTAGGAGAGTAATACATCCCAACCACAGCTTCAGAAGTGGGTTCCAGCGAGACACTGTGTGAATATTGGTGAAAAAATGTATAATCCTTTGCAAGTTGCAAGGGTTACAGCAATACATAAAGGTGGTGTACAGATTTAAACAACTTTAGGCCAATATCAAACTTACCATTGCTATCCAAAATCTTTGAGAAACTCGTGCACAGGAGACTATATTAATTTATAACGGCACAAAACATACTCAACCCCTGCCAATTTGGATTCAGGAAAAATAAAAGCACTAATGACGCAATTATAAAAATGCTAGATCTGCTTTACACAGCATTGGAAAATAAGGAATATCCGCTAGGAATTTTTATTGACCAAAGAAAAGCTTTTGACACAGTAGACCACAGCATCCTACTCCACAAACTTGACCATTACGGTATAAGAGGCCATGCGCTTGCATATTTTAAATCCTACCTTACTAAAAGGTATCAGTATGTCACCATTAAAAGACAGTCTCAGCAACACGGCCACTTGATACAGGAGTTCCGCAGGGAAGTGTCCTTGGTCCCCTGCTCTTCCTCTGCCCGAAATACCTAGCCATGCTAAGCGTTCTAGTGGTACACTCTGTAATCACTATTTTACTACATGTAAACCACACAATAACCAAATTCCTGTAAACTCAGCATTGTAATCCTTATAGAGAATAAACTTTGAATTTGAATTTGAATATACATCAATGATCTTCCAAACGTATCCCAACACCTGAAACCCATTCTCTTTGCTGACGACACGACTTATGTCATCTCTCACCCTAATCTTGCCACCCTCAACACCATTGTTAACGAGGAGCTGATCAAAATATCGACTTGGATGACAGCCAATAAACTTATGCTTAACACTGACAAAACTTACTATATTATGTTTGGTAGCAGAGCAAGAGATGCACAAATTAACATTAACATCGACAACACTCTAATTACCAGAAATAATGGGGGAAAATTCCTAGGCTTATACCTCGACAACAACCTGAATTTCAGCACCCATATCCAACACATAACCAAAAAAGTATCCAAAACAGTTGGGATCCTCTCCAAAATACGATATTACGTGCTGCAAAATGTCCTTCTCACACCACTCACTTGGCAGACGATGCAACATCCCCCCAATGAACAGCAGGGGTGTCACTAGCACGTTAAGAGACCATACAATAAGTGTCAGGGGCCCGAGACTGTTCAACTGCCTCCCAGCATACATAAGGGGGATTACCAACAGACCCCTGGCAGTCTTCAAGCTGGCACTGGACAAGCACCTAAAGTCGGTTCCTGGCCAGCCGGGCTGTGGCTCGTACGTTGGTTTGCGTGCAGCCAGCAGCAACAGCCTGGTTGATCAGGCTCTGATCCACCAGGAGGCCTGGTCACAGACCGGGCCGCGGGGGCGTTGACCCCCGGAACTCTCTCCAGGTAAATTCACTTGAGGGACTGATGACTTCATCTTTGACACCAGTCTTATGTCTGTTTACCTGGAGAGAGTTCCGGGGGTCAACGCCCCCGCGGCCCGGTCTGTGACCAGGCCTCCTGGTGGATCAGAGCCTGATCAACCAGGCTGTTACTGCTGGCTGCACGCAAACCAACGTACGAGCCACAGCCCGGCTGTTATTACTTCACAGTTATTACTAAATTTATTTATGGACAGGTACATATATATAATTATCATACATAAAGTAAATTACTCTCCAGAATAACCCCCAAAAATTGCAATAGGCTCGTACCTTTGCATGTGATCTTGATCCAAGGAGGTAGAGCTACTCTCCCCTTTAAATTAAATTATTTATTTTCATACTAGACACAGATAATGTAATAAAATAATATTAGAACAGAAAATCACTAGTATGTAATGGATTTCGAGAAAAATAATTCTTCCTCGGATCAAACCTGATTACTTCCCATTAACCAGGTGCTGTTATAACCCTTACGGGATTAGCGCTCAACCACGATTATAACAAATTAATAGCCCCCCCCCCAAAAAAAAATAGACTCCAATGGAAATAAGTCACAGAATTTTGACTTAATGGGTTTTTATTAATTAAATTATACAACGTATTTTTATGTGCCCAAAACACCTGTGAAATTTTAAAATAATTAGCATTATTATTATTATAATAAAAAAGAAGCGCTAAGCAAAATAATTAGTAAATTATATGCTATGTACACAGCCTAAATAAAAAAAGTAGGCTCGTAGTTAATGTTTTGAAAATTTAGTTCATGTTCAGTACCTGTCCAGTACTTGTGGTCTCTGGCTGGTTTTTATTAAGTTTTTCGGGGTTTTTATAGCAACTTGTGTTTGTATTAACATTAAGAAGTGGTCAAATAATGCGAATTTTTTAGTGGCACAACAAAGGGTCATTTTAGGTCAAGTTTATTATGTGACGATTTTTTTTTTTTTTTTGGTGTGGGCAGGTGAAAAGGGTTTTTATGTAGGTTTAACCTAGAATAAACCCCCATACACGACCCCAGTGGATTATATAATCATGGGGAGCACTAAACCCGTAGCGACCCAGTGGATTATATAATGGGGAGCACTAAACCCGTAGCGACCCCAGTGGATTATATAATCATGGGGGAGCACTAAACCCGTAGCGACCCCAGTGGATTATATAATGGGGAGCACTAAACCCGTAGCGACCCCAGTGGATTATATAATCATGGGGGAGCACTAAACCCGTAGCGACCCCAGTGGATTATATAATCATGGGGGAGCACTAAACCCGTAGCGACCCCAGTGGATTATATAATGGGGAGCACTAAACCCGTAGCGACCCCAGTGGATTATATAATCATGGGGGAGCACTAAACCCGTAGCGACCCCAGTGGATTATATAATCATGGGGGAGCACTAAACCCGTAGCGACCCCAGTGGATTATATAATGGGGAGCACTAAACCCGTAGCGACCCCAGTGGAAGTATGGCACTTTGAATTTTTTTTTTTTGGGGGGGGGTTTATCACAGGTAGTTTCCCCACATATTACTATATATGGTAATTGTACTTATGTGTACCTGTCTATACATCTTATTTCCATTGGTATTTCCATTAGGGTCCATGAGCTTGTGTCTGTACCTAATTAAGTTTATTCAGATATACACAAATACATATTTATTATACATAGCAGCATATATGTGTAGAGAATCAAGGATAACAAAACATGTCCGACTTATTTCCATTGGGGTCCTTGATTTCTACTGGGGCTCCTTGATTTTCATTGGGGGTCCTTGATTTCTACTGGGGATCCTTGATTTCTACTGGGATCCTTGATTTCTACTGGGATCCTTGATTTCTACTGGGATCCTTGATTTCTACTGGGATCCTTGATTTCCATTGGGATCCTTGATTTCCATTGTGGTCCTTGATTACCATTAGGGTCCTTGAGCTTGTGCCTATACCTCCTATGGGCCCCCAAAACCACGGTTTAATTTCTTTTTATGCTAAGCATGCTTTTTTAAGTACATAGTATAAACCTGGATAATAGATACCAGCAGGTACACATCAGTAATAATAATATATCTATTTCCGCTTATTTAGGTACATAGTATAAACCTGGATAATAGATACCAGCAGGTACACATCAGTAATAATAATATATCTATTTCCGCTTATTTAGGTACATAGTATAAACCTGGATAATAGATACCAGCAGGTACACATCAGTAATTATAATATATCTATTTCCACATGATACAACTTATACAGACCATAGCTCACATCAATGATATATTACTATATAGAAAGCCACTTGTTATGTTGAGCATTTCCCACAAATTAGGTCAGTTTTGTCCCAGGATGCCTCCCACACCAGTCCACTAACACCCAGGATGCCACCCACACCAGTCCACTAACACCCAGGTACTTATTTTACTGATGGGTGAACAGGAACAGCAGGTGTCTTATGGAAACATGTCCCTAATATTTTTCCTGCGAAGGGAGGTGGAAAAATCGGGCATGTTTCCGTACACTGGTTGTCTATGTTCACCCAGCAGTAAGTAGGTACCTGGGTGTTAGTGGACTGGTGTGGGTGGCATCCTGGGTGTTAGTGGACTGGTGTGGGTGGCATCCTGGGTGTTAGTGGACTGGTGTGGGTGGCATCCTGGGTGTTAGTGGACTGGTGTGGGTCACATCCTGGGTGTTAGTGGACTGGTGTGGGTCACATCCTGGGTGTTAGTGGACTGGTGTGGGTCTCATCCTGGGTGTTAGTGGACTGGTGTGGGGTCACATCCTGGGTGTTAGTGGACTGGTGTGGGTCACATCCTGGGTGTTAGTGGACTGGTGTGGGTCACATCCTGGGTGTTAGTGGACTGGTGTGGGTCACATCCTGGGTGTTAGTGGACTGGTGTGGGTCACATCCTGGGTGTTAGTGGACTGGTGTGGGTCACATCCTGGGTGTTAGTGGACTGGTGTGGGTCACATCCTGGGTGTTAGTGGACTGGTGTGGGTCACATCCTGGGTGTTAGTGGACTGGTGTGGGTCACATCCTGGGTGTTAGTGGACTGGTGTGGGTCACATCCTGGGTGTTAGTGGACTGGTTTGGGTCACATCCTGGGTGTTAGTGGACTGGTGTGGGTCACATCCTGGGTGTTAGTGGACTGGTGTGGGTCACATCCTGGGTGTTAGTGGACTGGTGTGGGTCACATCCTGGGTGTTAGTGGACTGGTGTGGGTCACATCCTGGGTGTTAGTGGACTGGTAGGGGTCACATCCTGGGTGTTAGTGGACTGGTGTGGGTCACATCCTGGGACAAAACTGACCTAATTTGTGGGAAATGCTCAACATAACAAGGGACTTTCTATACAGTAATATATCATTGATGTCAGCTATGGTCTGTATACCTTATACATGTAGTAAATAAAGAAATTATTATATTATTACTGTGGTACTGCACTGCTATAATACAAAAAAAAACATTTGTGTGGAATACAGCGTAGTTTACATGTAATAAAATATTTTTAAGCCTATGAGAACCATTTCTGGCAGACTAATCCAAATTCTTACCACTGCTTAATTACGATTAGACGTAGATTGAGTGGTAAATTTTAATTATGTGTTATTACAAAGAGGTAGCAAATAATAATATGTACAATTAGTACAGTTTACAGTAATGCGTACAGACTAAATTAAGGAAATAGGTAATTTTATACATTTTTATTGTGAAAATGGTACCCATTGTGTTTTTGGTAATGATTTCAGAGGGAAATAAAGGGATTTAGGATCATGGGCCCCAATCATCAGTAACTGCATTAATGATATAGTCCAATTTGCAAGTTATATTAATTTTTATTTATTACATTAATGAGGGAGCACCAAATCCATAAGGGTATAGTGCCTGGGAATGGGAGACATTCAGTGTTTAATCAGAGAGGACAGACTCAATTCCTTGGATCAAGAACCTCTTGCCAACATTAACTTTCCAACTTGTGAATCCCTTGATGAGCAATTATAGGCTCTTCATCCATGGAATTAGAGCTCCCTTTCCCCTTTCTTCGGCTACATGTCTCCTAATTCAACTTGAATTATTACAAATTATATTAGTAATTGTAGTGATATTTTATGACCTGGCCATCCTTTATGATTTGTCAAAAATATTTAAATCCATGTAGTGCATATGGGTACAGTTTATTTTATTTTTTTTTTTTTTTCAACAAGTCGGCCGTCTCCCACCTAGGCAGGGTGACCCAAAAAAGAAAGAAAATCCCCAAAAAGAAAATACTTTCATCATCATTCAACACTTTCACCACACTCACACATTATCACTGTTTTTGCAGAGGTGCTCAGAATACAACAGTTTAGAAGCATATACGTATAAAGATACACAACATATCCCTCCAAACTGCCAATATCCCAAACCCCTCCTTTAAAGTGCAGGCATTGTACTTCCCATTTCCAGGACTCAAGTCCGACTATATGAAAATAAGTTTATCTTTTGGTAAATTCATTTCCACAACAAATTTGATAACTTGCATTTTTAGATTTAAATTCTATATTTGAGCATGGTACAATTTTTGTTTATTAATAACAGAAAGGTAAAGGCCCTGACCTTTACATTACAGTATTTCTATGAATGACTGTAGTGTATTTTGAATTATAAAGTACAGTAATGTACTGTTGTAAATTACAAATATATATATAACAAAAAAGGCACAATATCGTGACTGGAACGATACACAAATAACCCGCACATAGACTTTGTAAATGGTCCAAGTAAGACCGAAACGTCATCGTAAGCTCCTCTCTTCTATGTGTGGGTTATTTGTGTATAAATATATATATTTTTCATTACAATACTCTCATATATTTCAGAGAAAGCCTGATACAACAGTGATGGCTTTTCAGTATAAGAGAAAGGTTTTGTTTGAAGATGGAAAAAACACAACCTACTGCTATGTCAGGATCAAACCGGCGATGAGGACAGATGAGAGTACACAACAGTTACCAAGTACTTCTCGTGCTGGACAAGTAGAGGACAAGACACCAGAAAAAATGGTCATAACCAGAGAACAGCGTTTACGAATGGAACGAAGTTATCAGAGAGCACTCAGGATTAGGGAGGAGAGGATGGCAAGAAATGCAGAGAATGCTAAAAAGTAAGAAAGTTGTATTAAGTTAATCTTTAAAAGTGTATCCTTCAATAAGTTGCCTTGATGCTGGTGTAGGGTACTCTGTCCTAAGAATTGAAATTACCCCTTCACCCCCCTTCCTTAAAAAACAATACCTCCCACCTCCCCAGGTGCTTTTATAACCCAGGGATAAGTAGCAACATTAAAAGAGTTTTTTTTTTCTTTCTAGGGCATCCCCTAACCAATACAGGTTACCTTCACTTTATACACTATCTTATTTCTGTTAATTCTGTATGTGCAATACATTCGTTGTATGTGATTTATGGTTGCTGAAGATTATTGAAGCTTATATGAGATTGTGTTGATGGCCTGACTGGAATAAACTCCAGGTACACAATACTTGTCAGTATTGTATACCTGGAGAGGGTTTCGGGGGTCAATGCCCCCATGGCCCCGTCTGAGACCAAGCCTCATCCAGGCTTTTACTGCTGTCTGCACGCAAGCTGATGTATGAACCACAGCCCGGTTGGTCAGGTACTGACTTTAGGTGCCTGATAATTTAGACACATATGCAACACTTGAGTCTTTATTAAGGAAATGTTTTGTTAACGGTGGCTTCATGAGTCCAATACAGAGAACGGTGAAGATCAGAAGGAGTTTGAGGTAATCTGTCCAAGATTGATGGACTGATTACATTAGCTCCAGGCTAAGGGACTGATTACCGCAAACTACTCCTGATCTTCACCATTCAATGCATTGGACTGACGAAGCCACAGGGGGGGGGACACCAAGTGTTGCACACATCTAATTTATCAACTTGTCAATTCTCTTGCCCAGAGAGGCATAATTGAACTTTAATACAGCTGACATGGGCTTCAAACACTTCTATTGCATAAATTGAGGCTGTTTACCTAGCAGTAAGTCGGTACCCAACTTTAGTGGGTTGCATCCTGGGAGGGAGGATCAAAGGACTACAATGTAAAGGCCATAATGGGTTTATTGGGTTATCCTGAGTTACTAACTCTCCAGGTTAATAATCTAAAATCAGTAAAATGCTGGTAGTCTCCCACAGAGGCAGGTTGACCTGAAAAGGAAACATTCACCATCATTCACACTATTATTGTCTTGCCAGAAGCAATGTTAGTCATCAATTTTTAATGTCCTCTTTCATAATTAAGCAATAAAATGACTAAGCTTGAAGGCACTTCATGATACTTTAATTTGCCTATGCCTACCTATGTCTAATAAATCTGGGGTGGATGGTAGGAGGGGTTTTGGAGTGTCTCTGGAATGGTTGGAGTGAGTAAAAGTGTCTTGGATTTTTAGGGGCTTGAGCATCCGGCAGGCTTGTGTGAGTATGTTAAGACGTGAATGGAGAAAAGTTTTTTTTTTAATGTGGTGGTGTAGTGTAAACAGGGCAACTTATGAAGGTATTCAGGAAAACCGGTTAACCATCCTTGAATCCTGGAGATGGGAAGGTCAGTAGTACCTGCACTCTGAAGGAAGATTGATGTTGCAGTTGGAAAATAATTTGAATTGTGATGTCAGCACACTTGGTAGGACAGGACTTCAACAAATAATGGTGAATGTGTTTTCTTTGGGTGACTCTGCCTTGGCAGGAGATGGCTGTTGAGGTAAAGAACTTATTGCCGTTCTGTACTCTAGTAATAAGAGTGTAATGTTGCATTTCTTAATCTTTCTACTGAATTTTTCTTTCTTTGCACAGCCACTGTTTTCCTCTATACAGTTTCCCCTCAATGTAGAATTATTTAGAATCTTCTTAATTTGTAGATTAATATTAGCTGTAACAGTAAATCCTTTGCCAATACCACCTGTTTTTCTCTCTTGTATTCAGTGACTTCTTGATACAACTATCTGCAGTTTCAGCATTATATTCTTCCAGCCGTTTAATCTCTTTTTCAAAGTGTTTGTAATATTTTCAGATATCCGAGCTTTTCCATGGGGAAGTGGAACAGAGTTCCTCCTCCGTAAGCCATGTGTGTCATAAGAGGTGACTAAAGTGCCAGGAGTAGGGGGCTAGTAACCCCTTCTCCTGTATTCATTACTAAAGTTATAGAGAGGAACTTTGCTTTTTCTCTTTAGGTCACCCTGCCTTGGTGGGATATTTCCAGTTTGATGAGAAAAAAAAAGAAATTCCCAAGCTAGATTCACCTGCTGTTTCAGTTATATCATAAACTTTGCTATAGGTTTACAGAAATAACTATTATTTTGTGCCTTCTAAACTTTTACTATGCTTTATATTGACCTTGTTTCTAGTAAATTTATGACCTGCTTCCTCTTTATTTTTCTAGTTTGCAGTCAGTCTTTGCCTTTCATGATTTTATTAAAATTTATTCATTCTGCCCATCAATCTACTAGATCTGGTGCTGTTGTTAATTGTAAACAAATAGGTTATTTTACCGATGTGTTCACTATTTTATTTCACTATACGTATACGTAAATACAGTAGAACCCCAGTTTTCATATGCCCCAGCTTACATGTAAACAGAGGCGTCGTAAGGGGGGCGGGCCGCCCCGGGTGACACCATTTAGGGGGTGACACCATAGAGCCTCTAAAGACGTTGACACTAATGCACAAAACAGTGCTGCACCAACATAAGAGAAGAATCCTTAGTTTCTTTATAGCCTATGATAGGATTACAGAGTACAAATAAGCCTATACAGTGGACCCCCGCATAACGATCACCTCCGAATGCGACCAATTATGTAAGTGTATTTATGTAAGTGCGTTTGTACGTGTATGTTTGGGGGTCTGAAATGGACTAATCTACTTCACAATATTTCTTATGGGAACAAATTCGGTCACTGCTGGCACCTGAACATACTTCTGGAGTGAAAAAATATCGTTAACCGGGGGTCCACTGTATAGGGAAAATCATAGATTTTGATGATGTGATAGAGGATTTTGCTTAACTGAAGGCAAGAAAATGTAAAATCAGATTCACCGAGATGTTACCTGTACTCTAAGGTCAAATTGGAATTAGTGTTTCTCTGATATTGCAATGTTTTTCTTTATTTTTAAATTTTTTTTTTTTTTTTTGCATTGTTGAAGATGAATAAATGTAGGATCTGCTGGCTGTACTCAAAGTGGTATTTGAGTTTATGTTTCCTCAATATTACTACCATTATTTACTTTATCATTAATAAAGTTGAGAAGTATTCTCCTGTTCAGTTTATGGCCCTTAAACATTCTTATTGTTAAACATTAGTCACTGGTCATGCAGTAGTGACGTAACTGGTCATGCAGTAGTGACGTAACTGGTCATGCAGTAGTGACATAACTGGTCATGCAGTAGTGACGTAACTGGAGTTTACCCCCCCATCCCCCCGCCCTTGAATATCATGGGGGTGACACCAAAGATGCTGCCCCAGGTGACACCAACTCTAGCGACGCCTCTGCAAGTAAAACCACTGTTACTCTCTATAAAATGTATTTTTTATATTTCCCATAAAAAATAATGTAAATCCAATTAATCTGTTCCAGACACCCAAAAATATTAACAAAAAATACATTTTATGGAGAATGACTGTGGTTTTATATGCAAGCTGGGGTATACGAAAACCCAAGTTCCACTGTAGTACAGTGGTACCCCAAGTTTTGTACAGCTCCCAACTCGAACAATTATGCAAGTGTATTATAGTAAGTGCTTTTGTAAGTGTATTTTTGGGGGTCTGAAACGGACTAATCTAATTTATGTACATTATTCCTTATGGGAACAAATTCGTTCAGTAACGGCACTTGAACAGCCTTCTGGAATGAATTATGGCTGAAACTTGGGGTGCTACTGTACAGTAATTTCCCATATTAATTTACACTTTTCACTTAAGCACACACTGCTTTCACTATAAACAGCATGGCCTCCTTATTTTTTTTTCAGCCCGGTAGTGGACAACTCAGCAGAAGTGAGTAATTTTGTCAATTCTTATAGTACATATTTGTCAAGGAATATAATTGTAGTCAGTATCATATTAGCTAACTTGAATAAGTGTGAGAATTTGTTTATCAATATTAACCCGTAAACGGTCCAAACGTATATATACGTTTTTTCAACATTTGAAAGTATGTAAAAAAAGTCGATCTTCTTTTTGTTTTTCTACATTTCAAAATGTGTAAAAAAAACTGTGATCTACTTTTTTTTTTGTTGTATTTGAAAATATGTAAAAAAAACGTAGATCTACTTTTGTAGCACTACACATGTGAATGTAGATCTGCTTGGACCGTTTACGGGTTAAAGTACAGTACAGTAGAGCATTATTTTAGAAAAAAGTACAAAACATATCTAAACTTTCAGCTCTTTCTCACGCTAACACCAGTAAGACGAAGCAGTAATGTAATGCTGTATATGATTTTTTTTTTTTTTTTTTAGAAATAAACGTACCAATGATTCACTTGTTAAAATGATGTATTTGTTCCTTACCTGTATTTAGGATGATGGGGTGATCAGCATTAATTCTCGTGGCTATGAAGTACGGCCTTTGCACAATGATGGACAGGTGAGAATGTTACTATTGAGAGGGTTATTTGATTGTGATGTCTGTGCACTTTTGACAAAGCAGCTGTTAATAAATAATGAATACAGTGGACCCCTGACTAACGATCACCTCCAAATGCGACCAATTATGTAAGTGTATTTATGTAAGTGCGTTTGTACGTGTATGTTTGGGGGTCTGAAATGGACTAATCTACTTCACAATATTCCTTATGGGAACAAATTCGGTCAGTACTGGTACCTGAACATACTTCTGTAATGAAAAAAGATCGTTTGTCGGGGATCCACTGTATATATTTTTTTTTGGGGGGGGGGGAGGAAAGGGTTCACCATATCTAGGTGGAAAATGGCCTGTTTTAAAATGCCAAACATCTGTCATTGCAGAGGATTCTAGCAAATGTACCAGAACCCCCAAGTTCAAGGATGGCCGTCCCTACTGCATACACTGTTCCCAGCTGTTTGATACTTCATATTACTATGACTTTTTCGAAATTCGTACATGTGAACAGTGCAGGAAGAAGAATCTGTAAGGTATAGTATCACTACCTTGTGTTCTTTATATGTAACTATTGTATTTTTTTTTTTTATTATCACACTGGCCGATTCCCACCAAGGCAGGGTGGCCCGAAAAAGAAAAACTTTCACCATCATTCACTCCATCACTGTCTTGCCAGAAGGGTGCTTTACACTACAGTTTTTAAACTGCAACATTAACACCCCTCCTTCAGAGTGCAGGCACTGTACTTCCCATCTCCAGGACTCAAGTCCGGCCTGCCGGTTTCCCTGAACCCCTTCATAAATGTTACTTTGCTCACACTCCAACAGCACATCAAGTATTAAAAACCATTCGTCTCCATTCACTCCTATCAAACACGCTCACACACGCCTGCTGGAAGTCCAAGCCCCTCACACACAAAACCTCCTTTACCCCCTCCCTCCAACCTTTCCTAGGCCGACCCCTACCCCGCCTTCCTTCCACTACAGACTGATACACTCTTGAAGTCATTCTGTTTCGCTCCATTCTCTCTACATGTATTATTATTATTATAATCATGGGGAGCGCTAAACCCATAGGATTATACAGCGCAAGTGGGGGGAATGGGAGGCATTCAGGCTCAATTCAGGGAACTAGAGCACAGATTCAATTCCCTAGATCAAGAGCCCCTCACCAGCATCAAGGAACCTCCCTTGAGGGGTGTAACTATTGTAGTCTGTATAGTATTGTAGATATCTTTAGTCACTCTGTACTTGGATTATGAACAAGGTAACATATATGAAGGGATTCAGGGAAACCAGTTAACTGGACTTGATTTATGGAGGTGAGAAATACAGTAGCTGCAGTTTGAGGTGGGGTGAGGATGTTGCAGTTCAGTGTGTTTGAATTGTGATGTCTGCACTTCTGACAAGACAGTTGTGAATGGTTGGTAGTGTTTTTTTTCATGCAACTGGCAGTCTCCCACTGAGGCAGGGTGACCTGAAAGAGAAACTTTCACTATCATTCACACTATCACTGTCATGCCAGAGGTGCGCAGATATCACTCTAAACAGCAAAATATCCCAAACCCTTCATTTAGAGTACAGTGGTACCCCAAGTTTCGAACTTTCTTCGTTCCAGAAGGCTATTCAAGTGCCATTACCAAATGAATTTGTTCCCATAAGGAATAATGTAAATTAGATTAGTCCATTTCAGACCCCCAAAAATACAATTACAAAAGCGCTTATAATAATACACTCACACAATTGGTCGAGTTGGGAGCTGTTCGAAACTTGGGGTACCACTGTACCACTTCCCACCTCCAGGAAGTCCAATCTTAATGGAAAATGAGCACCTATTAGGACATTAAATTCAAATTGAATATAAAGCTGATAATTAAAGTGAATTAAAAAGCTAATGGATAAGTAATGATGTAATAATGTTTGGAGATATAATTAAACTTTAAAAATTAATAAATAGTGTAATTTAAAACTTGAAATAAGTTTAATGGCAGTTTGTGAAGTTACATTAAAAATTGTTTCAGGGAAATACATTAGGTATACAGAAATTTTTAAACTTTTTATTTGAAATCATTAAGTACGCTGCGTTTTTTTTTAATTCATCTGGCAAGTTCGACATTTTTGGCCCTTATATTTTTCATTTGAGCTCTATAGAGGTTCAGGGAAACATGAGAAATCAACATTACAATAATTTTAAAAGATATAGAGTGAATAGTATTATTATTATAATCAGAAAGAAGCGCTAAACCACAAGGGTTACACAGCGAGTGAACAGTGGTATGTATATATAAGCAGGCCCCGCTTTACAGCATTTCGCTAATACAGTGGACCCCCGGTTAACGATATTTTTTCACTCCAGAAGTATGTTCAGGTGCCAGTACTGACCGAATTTATTCCCATAAGGAATATTGTGAAGTAGATTAGTCCATTTCAGACCCCCAAACATACACGTACAAACGCACTTACATAAATAAGTACACTAACATAATTGGTCACATTCGGAGGTAATCGTTATGCGGGGGTCCACTGTACATTGTACAGCAGTTGTCAGTTATACCCATTTTTCATTTAGTCAGACTTCCTACAATACATTCACCACTCTCTATAAGCTATAGACAGAAATATTTTAAGGTAAGTAATGTTGTGTTCTGAGCACCTTTGCAAAAACAGTGATAATGTGTGAGTGAGGTGAAAGTGTTGAATGATGATGAAAGTATTTTTTGTGGGGATTTTCTTTCTTTTTTTGGGTCACCCTGCCTCGGTGGGAGACAGCCAACTTGTTGGGAAAAAAAATGTGTATACTGTGTATATGTATTCTTCAGGTCTAACTTTATTGCTCATTTAATATGTAACAATGTAAACATGTAATCAGACTTTTATGTGCATTTGAAAGTGAAAACCGGCTATGTTTCACTTCACAACAATTTTTGCTTCACAATATTAGCCTGGAACATAACCTGCTATATAAGCAGGACAATTATATATAGCATTGTTATTATAGTAGCTTCACGATTGGAATAAGTTCGTAATATGTTGTATGCAGTAGTATGTGGTGAATCTTTTAGCTGCCTTTTTGTGCATTTAGATATAAAGATTACAGGCATTGTCTGATCACCAAGAATTATACCAGAAATGATTACTTAATAAAAGATGGAGACTTTTAAAAAGTTAAATCCACTACTTACCTTTTTTAACCCGTAAACGGTCCAAGCAGATCTAGGTTTTTTTACATATTTTCAAATGTAACAAAAAAAAAGTAGATCAAAGTTTTTTTACACATTTTCAAATGTAAAAAAACAAAAAGAAGATCAACTTTTTTTACATACTTTCAAATGTTGAAAAAACGTATACAGTGGACCCCCGGTTTACGATATTATTTCATTCCAGAAGTATGTTCAGGTGCCAGTACTAAACGAATTTGGTCCCATAAGGAATATTGTGAATTAGATTAGTCCATTTCAGACCCCCAAACATACATGTACAAACGCACTTACATAAATACACTTACATAATTGGTCGCATTGGGAGCTGATCGTAAAGGGGGGGTCCACTGTATATACGGTTGGACCGTTTACGGGTTAATGGAAAAAATTCTCTGTTCCAGATGAGATTACGAGGTGTAACTCAAACTTCAAGACAGTTTCCTCCATTTTAGTTTATTATTCAAAGAGAAGCTGAATGGACCATTCAGCTGTCTATCCATGAAGATTACATTTAGTTACAATTCATTTATCCTTTAATTATATTCTCTTATTGTATTTAAATAATCAGGCTTGTCTTTATGAAATGATATGCACATTGCAAAATATTAATTTTCAAGCTTCATGTGTTTTGATATATTAAATCTGTGCTTCATAACCGAGCCTATAATAAATAAACATATTTGTTTGCTACATGTGAACTAATGCAAGATTGCATGTACTAATTCCTTTAAAGTTTTAATTGTTCTTCCTTCAGTTGTACCATTACCATATGATGTAGGATAATTACTAACCCTCATGAAAGAACCTTTGTTTAGTATAATTAGTCAAAATGCGATTAAATAGTCAAAAATGTAACTTGTATTATTATTATACCAAAATGTTTTTCTTGTGATTATAATAATTGAAGTACAGATAGTGTCTTATCCATATTTACCTGGCTGTGGTTACATAACAAAATTGTGCTTCCTGGTAAGGTATTTTTGCATTTGTGGCAGGATATATTAGAAATTTTTAATTTATATGAAACTAGTCATTCAAGGGAGTGCTTTGATACTGGTGAATAATCTTTAAGAAAATGGAGCTCTCCCCTTCCTTGTACCAAACCTGATTTTTTACCTTGTTTCCTTCTCATTCCCTATGAATTGTACAATATTTTGTTTAGTGCTTTCCCAAGATTTTAATGTGATTTAAATGTTTAGAAAACAGAAGTTGAAGAACAGGATGCTTGTGCAACATAATGGAATCTTCATCGAAGGAATGTTTCACAAGCCAGTGAGTTCTGAAGTCCAATACAGAGAAGAACGGTTTAAACCATACCCCCGGCCGGGATTGAACCCGCGGTCATAGAGTCTCAAAACTCCAGCCCGTCGCGCTAACCACTAGACCAGCTAGCCACAATAAGATTCATCCAACTAGGTATATTTCTACACCATAGGAAGGTTAGCACAGGCACCTCTGTGACCACAAATGCAAGTTTTTACAGACGAATCTCCAGCTAGCGTGGCCGTGACGAACTCTAGCTCAAGTCCCTTCACTGCCGTCAACATGACTTAAGAAATCGTAATGACACGATTGCAAATAAACCATACCCCCGGCCGGTGCCTGTGCTAACCTTCCTATGGTGTAGAAATATACCTAGTTGGATGAATCTTATTGTGGCTAGCTGGTCTAGTGGTTAGCGCGACGGGCTGGAGTTTTGAGACTCTATGACCGCGGGTTCAATCCGGCCGGGGGTATGGTTTATTTGCAATCGTGTCATTACGATTTCTTAAGTCATGTTGACGGCAGTGAAGGGACTTGAGCTAGAGTTCGTCACGGCCACGCTAGCTGGAGATTCGTCTGTAAAAACTTGCATTTGTGGTCACAGAGGTGCCTGTGCTAACCTTCCTATGGTGTAGAAATATACCTAGTTGGATGAATCTTATTGTGGCTAGCTGGTCTAGTGGTTAGCGCGACGGGCTGGAGTTTTGAGACTCTATGACCGCGGGTTCAATCCCGGCCGGGGGTATGGTTTATTTGCAATCGTGTCATTACGATTTCTTAAGTCAAGAACGGTTTACTTGGAGAGACTTCCGGGGGTCAACGCCCCCGCGGTCTGGTCTGTGACCAGGCCTCATGGTGGATCAGAGCCTGATCTGCTGGCTGCGTGCAATCCAACGTACGAGCCACAGCCCGGCTGGTCAGGTACCGACTTTAGGTGGAAGATGAGAAGACATGGATTGAACAGACACCAGGCTGAGGGACTGTGACCCAAAAAGAAAGAAAAAACTTTCATCATTCAACACTTTTACCATCAGATGTAGGTGTATAAAGACAGTCTGAAGTCTTGTTATGCAACTGTTAGGGATGACAACTGTCCCATGGCATGAAATGAAGGTGGCATGTCAATATCTGGGCACTTCGGTCCTGCTTATAAGCATAATAGTTTTTAAAACAGTTATAAGACCAAGTAAAGAACAAAAAGGCACAATACTGTGACTGGAATAATACACAAATAACCAACACAGGAGAGGGGAACTTATGATGTTTCAGTCCAACTGGGACTATTTACAAAGTCACACTGGTTTTGTAAATGGTCAAAGTTGGACTGAAATGTCATAAGCTCCCCTCTCCTATGTGCAAGTTATTTGTGAACAGAATATGTATTGAAATCCTCTGGGTATGCAGATTATTATTACAGTGGACCCCCGGTATTCGATGGCATCAGTATTCAATAAATCCGGTTTTCGATGCATTATATCGCAAAAATTTGCCTCTGTATTCGATTGAAAATCCGGTATCCGATACGATTCATACGAGACGTGTCCACGTGTGGCCTGAACTGCCCCGTGTGTGCCAGTGTTTACAAGCCAGCCAGTGTGCGCGCATCTAAGGATACATTCAGTACATTCCATATTATCCATATTATCACTGTGTTTGGTGCTTGTTTCTGCAAAATAAGTCACCATGGGCCCCAAGAAAGCTTCTAGTGCCAACCCTTTGAGAAAAAAGGCGCTAATGACTTATGAAATGAAGAAAGAGATAATTGCAAAGTACGAAAGTGGAGTGCGTGTGTCGGAGCTGGTTAGGTTGTATAATAAACCCCAATCAACCATCTCTACTATAGTGACCAGGAAAACAGCAATCAAGGAAGCTGTCCTTGCAAAAGGTGCAACTGTGATTACAAAACAGCGACCGCAAGTGTTAGAAAATGTTGAGAGACTGTTATTGGTGTGGATAAATTAAAAACAGATAGCAGGAGATAGCATCTCTCAAGCGATCATTTGTGAAAAGGCTAGGCAGTTGTATGACGATTTGGTAAAGAAATTGCCTGCAACTAGTGGTGATATGAGTGAATTTAAGGCCAGCAAAGGTTGGTTTGAAAGATTTAAGAATCGTAGTGGCATACATAGTGTGATTAGGTATGGTGAGGCTGCCAGTTATGTTGTGCGACAGAAGTCCAGTGACTCTCAAGCTGGTCCTAGTGGCATTAAAAGAAGGGAAGTAACCCCAGAAAAGGACTTGCTACCTCAAGTCCTAATGGAAAGGGATTTCCCTTCTAAACACTAACACCTCTCCCCTCCTTCCATCCATCAATCATCACCAGATCTTCATTAAAGGTAAGTGTCAATTATTTTATTGTTATTGTAATTATTCTATTGCATTATTTCATGTAGTAAAATTTTTTTTTTTCATACTTTGGGGTGTCTTGCATGGATTAATTTGATTTCCATTATTTCTTTTCGATATTTTTGGTATTCGAATGAGCTCTCAGGAACGGATTAATATCGAATACCGGGGGTCCACTGTATTATGATCAAAGCGCTAAACTGACAAGGGTCATGCAGCTGGGTATACAGCATTATTAATTCTGGTTATGCACACTCGACTCATAAGGTGGAAGATGTCTTGGCTGATTCAGCTTGTGAGTTCTTGTGAAAGTTTGTGGTCACTCAGGTATGACCAACTGGTTTGGTGCCTCCCTCAAGATGCATTGATGCCAGTGAGGGGATCTTAATCAAGCCTAAATACCTCATTCCCCAGGTGCTTTATGACCCTACAGGTTTAGTGTTTAACCTAGATTAAAATATGATCTGTTGTGCTTTTTAATATAATAATCCATAAAAATAAATACAGTGTTAAGAAAATAGCTAATTTCTTACAAAATTTTATTACCATTATCAAAAAAAATGTTTTCTTCGTACTTATAGTGAAATTACTTTCTTGGTACACTCAGATGATTTTTCTAAAGCTGAAAGCCCCTCGAGGGAGGTTCCTTGACACTGAAAGGCTCTTGATCCAAGTAATTTAACTTTAAATAACAAAAAGGCACAATACCGTGACTGGAACAATACACAAATAACCCGCACATAAAAGAGAGAAGCTTACGACGGGCATCCCCGTCTACGATGGGGATGCCCGGGTGTTGTGCATGTGTCTTAATTTCATCCTGTCGGTATTATATACAATTCTTGTACTACTACTACTACTACTACTTCCACCTCTTCCTGCCTATATATAGTCGTCCTGCTCCACCTCTGTTAGTGTGACTTTGTCAATGGTCCAAGTCGGACCGAAACGTCGTCGTAAGCTTCTCTCTTTTATGTGCGGGTTATTTGTGTAATTTAACTTTACCTCCCCTTCCTTGGATCAAGCTTGATTGCCTAACATTTCCTCAGGCTCTCTGACCCATATGGGTATAATACCTACTTTTTGGGGATTTTCTTTCTTTTTTTTGGGTCACCCTGCCTCGGTGGGAGACGGCCGACTTGTTGAAAAAAAAAAAAAAAAACCTACTCCATGAATGTAAAGAATTATAAAGACGAAAATAACACAAGATTGATCTCACACGTCAAGTAAGAGTTACACGACCAGACGATAAGAAATGTATCTTCCTGCTGTCTCAGATGGTCGGATAATTTTCACAACTTGGCCACGTTTCAGACCAAAATAACGAGCCACTGGATCGCCGGCCTGAATTCTCATCAACTGGTTGTCTTTCAGTTTATATCTGGAAGGTAATAAAAACAACTTTAGCATGCTAAAACATGAGGGAAATAAACCTGAATGCATTCACCTAGGACATCTTTAATGAAGACGTTTCAGTCCTTGGACCTTCATCACTTTCAGTATATAAGGAGCATTAAAGAACAGCTATATGTAGGGGCAGATCACAGTAGTAATGGTGATCTGGCTACTCTCCTGCCCCTGTATATAGCCTGTTTCCTCTCATACTCTTCAATATATTTGAGGTAATCAAGGTCCAAGGACCAAAACACTTTCAATAATTATTATTACAATCATAACAAGGGTCATACAGCGCATGTCTTCAATCAGAGGCAGTAGGCTGGTGGACAGCAACCATCCTGTCAAATGTTTTGCACTCTGACAGGTTTAGTGATATTTTCATTTTCTCTCATGAACATATAAGATGACAAAATGTAAACAGAACTTTGTAAATCATGCAGACTGCTTACATTCAGTATATGTACATGAACCTTCATGTTCCTACATCTTTTTTTTTTAATAGTTCTTAATGCTGCAAATAACATTTCCTTTCTAACCTAGAAGGCCTGGTCGCAGACCAGGCCATAGGAAAGATAATCCTCAACCGCTTACCAGATAACAGAATAAAGGTCTTCTAAGTGAATGTATTTGTGTCCATATCCCTCACGTTGTCGGCAGCCATTTGCCTTTCTGATACAAAACTAATACACTTCAACACTAATGGGTAACACAAGTGTTTATATTATTGAAAGTACTAAACATAAATGGGTTGTCACATGCTTTATGATCTGCAACACATATATTTTCAATATTAGAAATCTGACTGCCATATAGAATACTTGTTTCAAGTTAAATGATAAGTTAAAGTAGGTCCCCAACTTACAAGTAAATTCAAAGCAGCTTTCCATTACAGTATTTTCCCTTTAAGTGGGGTGTCTTAATACTGCTGAGTGGGGTTCCTTGTCCTAACAACTGGAGCCACCTTCACCTTCCTTAGATCAAACCTGATTACCTCCCATCCCAGCCCTGTACAGCTCTTATGGGTTTACCACCTCCCCTAAGTAGAACAATAATTTCCACTGTGTACTCACCTCTGCAGTAGCTCAGTCTTCTCTTCAGCAGTCATGACCACATGTTCAGGAACCAGCTCGTGTTCAGTGATGTTAATCAACAGTTCAGACTCCAGGAACTGTTCTAAGATATATTTAGGAGCCATATCAACCAAAGCCTGAAAATAAATTACACTTTTTAAGACGGAGTAGAAGAATCCACCTTGCTATAGAATTTCTTGCCTAACTCAAAAGAAATCCTATAAAGAAAATGTCAGATTATTTTTGTTGCTGTATATTCATGTGGAAGCTCTAAACTCATTAGGGGTCATACATGTGGAAAATGGGAAGCTCCAGTAACTATTTCTGAGTACCTAACCAATATCTGCTGTGTGGAAAGACATCTGAACTGTCGTATGTGTGCCTCTGGCAAGACAGTGATAGTATAAATGATGGTGAAAGTTTCTTTTTCAGGTCACCCTGCCTTGGTGGGAGATGACCAGCATGTTAAAAATTATTATTACAAGTGTAAATGGCTGCAATTTTGTAAGTAAAATAAATAAACTACAGTATTTCACACTTCTTACTACAAAAGATAATACATTTATCATGCAGGAAGCTTCTAGCTTGCACTAACTCACATTCCAGTGAGTCATTTACTGCTGTTGTGAGAAAAGGTAAACTGAACAATTGTTATCATGTTTTCCCACCTACTGTGAAGACTGATTTCCAATTGTTACCATGTTTTCCCACCTACTGTGAAGACCGATTTCCCAGAGGAGCAGCTCCTGGCGGCCAGAGTGAGAATACTCTCAAAACCCATCATGGGAGGAATCTTTAAGGCAATTTTCTCAAATTTTACATATGTATTCCACTCAAACATCTAAAAGCTGCATAGTGCTCTGGCTAGATAATGTTTTCAGAACAAGTGACACTTCTCTCACCGTAACGTTATAGATGCTCATGTTTCAAGAATTATTTCTCTGACATAAACACAAAACTGAAATGGACTGCTTTCTGTAACAAGAGTATTTTTACATGCAGACTGAAGGCAGCTCACTCACTCAGTTTCATCATATTTTCTTTTGCAATGGAGGTGTACTTCTGGCAAGAGAGCTATTGAATGAGTGATGGTAAATAGGTATCCTTTGGGTCACCCTACCTTGGTGCATATAACACTGTAATAATAATTTGGTACAGTGGACCCCCGGTTTACGATCAGCTCCCAATGCGACCAATTATGTAAGTGTATTTATGTAAGTGCGTTTGTATGTGTATGTTTGGGGGTCTGAAATGGACTAATCTAATTCACAATATTCCTTATGGGAACAAATTCGGTCAGTACTGGCACCTGAACATACTTCTGGAATGAAATAATATCGTAAACCGGGGGTCCACTGTATTTTATAATTCTTGATCGCCTGCTCTTTTGAGAAATTTGCAAGTACTCACATGTCAAACTATAAATATAACAACTACAATAAAAAACAAATACTAAAGTTGATATTTACAAGCAATAGTATGATCAAGATTGTAAGGTCTAGAAAAGAGATTGCTTTCAAACGAGATTAAAGGCATGAACAGATTTCTGACTTAACACTGGTAACCTGTTACACAGACCAAGAGCTGCATAAAAAAAGGCTCTTTTTGCAAATGACTTCTCTCTAACAGTCAATGTGGTTAACAAAAAAGGGGGAAACAAATATTTAAGACAATAGTGTGTGTATGAGTATTTTACCTGCTTTGCAGAGGGTGACATTCCAGCTTGAACAACAATGATTGCTCGTTGAATGTTCTCTTCTTGCATCCTTGTACAATATGTCTTTATGGTTCGTACACCAACCTGTGGGCAGACTTTAACGTATAATACGCAGAGGCAATTACAAACCAGTAAACAATATACAGTCTTTTTTTTTTTTCAACAAGTCGGCCATCTCCCACCTAGGCAGGGTGACCCAAAAAAGAAAGAAAACCCCAAAAAGAAAATACTTTCATCATCATTCAACACTTTCACCACACTCACACATTATCACTGTTTTTGCAGAGGTGCTCAGAATACAACAGTTTAGAAGCATATACGTATAAAGATACACAACATATCCCTCCAAACTGCCAATATACAGGTACTGTAATAATATTAATAACAATAATAAATAGCAAAAAACACAAAATATCTCTTTAATAAAGGCTAGCTCTACCTGTCTGATTTGCTCAGTGATAGTAACAATGATAGTATTAATAACCGATAAAGTTGATAAATGATAATAATTGATAAAGTGTTTATAAATGATAATGTGTTAATTCTGTTTTATGCTTTATGTCTGAGATGGTACAGCTGAGAACCTGCAACTTTCATTCTGCTAATTTCATTATATGGTGAGATTCTTAGTTTATTTCTATACAGATTATAGTTTTGGCATCAGCGAAAACTACTAAAGCACCTTAAAATGCTTACTTTAAATTTAATGAGAGAATTTAATACACGAGCTCATAGTTAACAACACACACGAGTTCCACCAAAACCTGTATAAGGGATATTGTATAGCAAGTGGCATTTTCCCATAGACTCGCATTATATAATTGGAGATATGCACTAGGGGGCAAATATATAAGATGTCTGAAATATACAAATAAACTAGGAGTATGGGAATCGCATGTAGTGCGGTGAGATGTTTTAATTACCAAAGCAGCGCTGTATGATCCTTAGGGGTTTAGCATTTAGTTTTGATTGTAATAATATTAATAATACGTGATAATATAACTTCCAAAAATAAAGTACAGGCCTACTGGCCCATGTGAGGCAGGTGCACTTCACCCACCAGCTTAAGCTAATGCCTTAAGGTAGTCATGTTACAGGTCACCATAGCTAAGGAATTAGGAGTCACGGCATGGTAGTGTCATGTTGTAATATATATCAAGTACGAACCTTCGGTTCTCCGAGGAGAATGACAACACTGTCAGTGGGGTCATCTCTGTCGTAGCCACTAATGAACAATGAAGGTCCGATTGGCCATGAAGGTTAGCTCTCTCAGTAAGGCTTTCATGCCGAAGCTCATTATAACTGCATCGAGTGGTTTGATCCAACTCGTCCTGACTAGCACAGAGGTACCTCGGTGTGACACTACTCATGATGGTCTTTCCGAATGCGCCACAGTAGTTTGTAAGATTCTACAGCTTCGTCTTACCAAAGTTAAGCTTTATGCCTGAAAAAAAAAATAGTCAATATATACCTAGCAAGCAAGTAGGTACCTGGGTGTTAATTGCCCTACACCTACTGTCCCATTTACCTAGCAAGCAAGTAGGTACCTGGGTGTTAATTACCCTAACCTACTGTCCCATTTACCTAGCAAGCAAGTAGGTACCTGGGTGTTAATTACCCTACACCTACTGTCCCATTTACCTAGCAAGCAAGTAGGTACCTGGGTGTTAATTACCCTACACCTACTGTCCCATTTACCTAGCAAGCAAGTAGGTACCTGGGTGTTAATTACCTACACCTACTGTCCCATTTACCTAGCAAGCAAGTAGGTACCTGGGTGTTAATTACCTACACCTACTGTCCCATTTACCTAGCAAGCAAGTAGGTACCTGGGTGTTAATTACCCTACACCTACTGTCCCATTTACCTAGCAAGCAAGTAGGTACCTGGGTGTTAATTACCCTAAACCTACTGTCCCATTTACCTAGCAAGCAAGTAGGTACCTGGGTGTTAATTACCCTACACCTACTGTCCCATTTACCTAGCAAGTAAGTAGGTACCCGGGTGTTAATTACCCTTACACCTACTGTCCCATTTACCTAGCAAGCAAGTAGGTACCTGGGTGTTAATTACCCTACACCTACTGTCCCATTTACCTAGCAAGCAAGTAGGTACCTGGGTGTTAATTACCCTACACCTACTGTCCCATTTACCTAGCAAGCAAGTAGGTACCTGGGTGTTAATTACCCTACACCTACTGTCCCAGTCACCTAGCAAGTAAGCAGGTACCTGAGTGTTAGTTACGTTACACCTATTGGCCCATTCACCTAGCAAGCAAGTAGGTACCTGGGTGTTAATTACCCTACACCTACTGTCCCATTTACCTAGCAAGCAAGTAGGTACCTGGGTGTTAATTACCCTACACCTACTGTCCCATTTACCTAGCAAGCAAGTAGGTACCTGGGTGTTAATTACCCTACACCTACTGTCCCATTTACCTAGCAAGCAAGTAGGTACCTGGGTGTTAATTACCCTACACCTACTGTCCCATTTACCTAGCAAGCAAGTAGGTACCTGGGTGTTAATTACCCTACACCTACTGTCCCATTTACCTAGCAAGCAAGTAGGTACCTGGGTGTTAATTACCCTACACCTACTGTCCCATTACCTAGCAAGTAGTAGGTACCTGGGTGTTAATTACCCTACACCTACTGTCCCATTTACCTAGCAAGCAAGTAGGTACCTGGGTGTTAATTACCCTACACCTACTGTCCCATTTACCTAGCAAGCAAGTAGGTACCTGGGTGTTAATTACCCTACACCTACTGTCCCATTTATCTAGCAAGCAAGTAGGTACCTGGTGTTGTTACTAACTATGACCATACTAGCAAGCAAGCAGTACTGTGTTTACCCACTAGTCCAGTACCTAGCAAGCAAGCAGGTACCTGGGTGTTAGTTACCTTACACCTACTGTCCCAGTTACCTAGCAAGCAAGCAGGTACCTGAGTGTTAGTTACCTTACACCTACTGTCCCAGTTACCTAGCAAGCAAGCAGGTACCTGAGTGTTAGTTACCTTACACCTACTGTCCCAGTTACCTAGCAAGCAAGCAGGTACCTGAGTGTTAGTTACCTTACACCTACTGTCCCAGTTACCTAGCAAGTTAGTGGACAGGTGTGGGTGGCATCCTGGGGGACAAAATTTAAGAACCACAAAGGAAATAGTCACTTTGACCTTTTTTTTGGTTATCCTGGGTAATTTACACATATATTAAACTATACATAATAACTGTACTTATCTTTACCTAATTAAATTAACTTACTTATTACTAAACTTTCCAGAAAATAACTTTCACGTGTAGCAGCTGTTATTATTATTGGACTTTAAGGGACACTGACGACTCTCAAAAAACAAAAGAAGTTTGCACAGTGCTCGCAGTACTCCTTTCCTTGATGTTGGTGAGGGGCTCTTGATTTAGGGAATTGGATCTGTGCTCCACTTCCCCGAATTAAGCCTGAATGCCTTCCACATCCCCCCCCCCAGGCGCTGTATAATCCTCCGGGTTTAGCGCTTCCCCCTTGATTATAATAATAATCGCAGTACTCCTGGTCCCGCCTTTTCATTAAACGCTACTAGGTTCTCTCTCTCCCTGCTCCATGACTTTTATCATACCTCGTCTTAGAGCTATGTATGGTTCCTGCCTCCACTACGTCACTCTCCAGATTGTTCCACTTCCTGATAACTCTGTGACTGAAGAAATACTTCCTAACTTCCCTTTGACTCATCTGAGTCTTCAACTTCCAACTGTCCCCTTGTTGCTGTGCCCCCTTGTTACTGTGTCCCCTCGTTGCTGTGTCCCCTTGTTGCTGTGTCCCCTTGTTGCTGTGTCCCCTTATTGGTGTGTCCCCTTGTTACTGTGTCCCCTTGTTGCTGTGTCCCCTTGTTACTGTGTTCCCTTGTTGCTGTGTCCCCTTGTTGCTGTGTCCCCTTGTTGCTGTGTCCCCTTGTTACTGTGTCCCCTTATTACTGTGTCCTCTTGTTGCTGTGTCCCCCTGTTACTGTGTCCCCTTGTTACTGTGTCCCCTTGTTGCTGTGTCCCCTTGTTGCTGTGTCCCTTTGTTGCGGTGTCCCCTTGTTGCTGTGTCCCCTTGTTGCTGTGTCCCCTTGTTGCTGTGTCCCATTGTTACTGTGTCCCCTTGTTGCTGTGTCCCCTTGTTGCTGTGTCCCCTTGTTGTTGTGTCCCCTTGTTACTGTGTCCCCTTGTTACTGTGTCCCTTTGTTACTGTGTCCCCTTGTTACTGTGTCCCCTTGTTGCTGTGTCCCCTTGTTACTGTGTCCCCTTGTTGCTGTGTCCCCTTGTTACTGTGTCCCCTTGTTACTGTGTCCCCTTGTTGCTGTCCCCTTGTTGTTGTGTCCCCTTGTTACTATGTCCCCTTGTTACTGTGTCCCCTTGTTGCTGTGTCCCCTTGTTGCTGTGTCCCCTTGTTACTATGTCCCCTTGTTGCTGTGTCCCCTTGTTACTGTGTCCCCTTGTTACTGTGTCCCCTTGTTGCTGTGTCCCCTTGTTGTTGTGTCCCATCTCTGGAACATCCTGTCTCTGTCCACCTTGTCTGTTCCAGTATACAATAATTTAGGACAATTAACCATGGGTTTCCCAGCATGTGATAAATGGTTTTGAAAACCGACAAGTTGAAGAATTGAGACACTTATGCAACATATGGGAATCTTTATTGAAGAAATGTTTTGCCACACAGTGCCTTTATCAGTCCAATACAAAGCAGGAAGGTGTAAGCAGAGTAGGAGTTTGAGGTAATCAGTCCCTCAGCCTGGAATCGATGTGTTCAGTCCATCACTCCTGTAGGAAGTACAGCATAGGGTCAGAGAAGGGACTTATATACTGTAGTCATGTGAGTGGAAGTAGGAGGAGGCGGGATCACAGTGGGACCATCCACTAGTGCAAGTAGGTCTTCGTCCAGAGGTTAGACAAGTGTTGAAGAATTCTTTATATCAAGATCCCATGATATTGCAGTGTCTGACAGATAGGATCTTGATATAAAGAATTCTTCAACACTTGTCCAACCTCTAGACGAAGACCTATTTAGGCTGTGATCCCGCCTCCTCCTGCTTCCACTCACCTGACTACAGTACATGAGCCACCTCTCTGGCCCTATGTTGTAGTAATGGTAGTAACTATAACCATAATTTCTAAAGGGGTGGACCGGTAAGCCAGCGGAAGGCCTCGGTCAGATGACCAAAAGCTCCAATGGCGGGTCATCATCTAAGACCCTAAGAACCTAACCTAACCTAATCTAACCTATGTTGTACTTCCTACAAGACTGATGGACTGAACATATCGACTACAGACTGAGGGACTAATTACTTCAAACTCCTCCTCTCTCTATACCTTCCTGCTTTATATTGGACTGATGAAGCCACTGTGTGGCGAAACGTTTCTTCAGTAAAGATTCCCATATATTGCATAGGTTTCCTAGCATAAATGTTATTTGTTACAATAGTTTGTACGCATAAATAGATGACATGGACGTACGTAAGTAGTGTTGTATGTGAATCTAAATTCCGGGACTCACGGTGTTTTGGAAGGAAATATTCAGTAAAACTGAAATAAAAATGAAAATGGGACAGGTGTCCTTAAATAAAAAGGATAAAAGCTGATTCTAACAATTGGATCAGATGAATCCTCGCCAAAAATCCACCAATTCCAGATGCCCCAACTCTGCCAGAGTTAGTGACCGACTTTCTGATACAGCCGTAAGGATCTGCAAAGCAGGAATTTATTTTTTATTTTTACATTATATTATTTTTATTATTATCGATAAGCGCTAAACCCCTAGGAGTCATACAACACTGTACCCTACATACAATTCTATCAATTTATCTGAGTATTTTGTACGTCGTAGTCATGGTTTCCCCTCCATCCTTCCATCCTATAGGGTCTACCGTATAAATTCCACGAGTCTTACCTCATAACGAACCCTTCTTAGTTCCGGGACTAATCTGGTTGCATATCTTTGCACCTTTTTCAAATCTTTGAATATGTGTCAAGTGTGGGATCCAGATTGATGTTGCATGTTGCACGGTGGACCTCACTTACTTTGTGTATAATAATAATAATAATAATAATAATAATAATAATAATAATAATAATAATAATAATAATAATAATAATAATAATAATAATCTTTATTTCTACCAGTACATGATACAACTTATACAGACCATAGTTGACACCAATGACATACTATATAGAAAGTCCCTGGTTATGTAGAGCATTTCGGGCAAATTAGGTCAGTTTCTGTCCCCAGGATGCGACCCACAACAGTCGACTAGCACCCAGGTACCTATTTTACTGAAAAGTGAACAAGGACAACAGGTGTCTTAAGGAAACACATCCTTAAAACACCTACTGTCACTGTTCACCTAACAGCAGTAAAATAGGTACCTGGGTGTTGGTGGACTGGTGTAGGTCGCATCCTGGGGACAAAAACTGACCTAATTTAACCAAAATGTTCTGTATAACAAGCCGCTTTCTACATAGTAGTATGTCATTGGTGTGAGCTATGGTTTGTATAAGTTGTACCATCTACTGGTAGAAATAAAAATTATTATTACGGTGAGGAAGTAGGTGTGAGGAAGTAGGTGAGTGTGTGAGGAAGTAGGTGTGTGAGGAAGTAGGTGAGTGTGTGAGGAAGCAGGTGAGTGTGTGAGGAAGCAGGTGAGTGTGTGAGGAAGTAGGTGAGTGTGTGGAGCAGATGAGTATAGGAAAGTGAGTGTGTGAGGATCAGTAGGTGAGGAGAGTGTGTGAGTGGGAAGCAGTGAGTGTGTAGGAAGTAGGTGTAGAATCAGTGAATGTTGAGGAACCAGTAGGTGTGTGTGAGGAAGCAGGTGAGTGTGTGAGGAAGCCAAGTGAGTGTGTGAGGAAGTAGGTGAGTGTGTGAGGAAGCAGGTGAGTGTGTGAGGAAGCAGGTGAGTGTGTGAGGAAGCAGGTGAGTGTGTGAGGACCAGGTGAGTGTGTGAGGACGTAGGTGAGTGTGTGAGGAAGCAAGATGAGTGTGTGAGGAAGCAGGTGAGTGTGAGGAACAGTGAGTGTGTGAGGAACAGGTGAGTGTGTGAGGAACAGGTGAGTGTGTGAGGAAAGTGAGTGTGTAGGAACAGTGAGTGTTGAGGAATCAGGTGAGGTGTGAGGAAGCAGGTGAGTGTGTGAGGAACGCAGGTGAGTGTGTGAGGAACCAGGTGAGTGTGTGAGGAACCAGGTGATGTGTGTGAGGAACCAGGTGAGTGTGTGAGGAAACAGGTGAGTGTGTGAGGAACCAAGTGAGTGTGTGAGGAATCAGGTGAGTGTGTGAGGAACCAGGTGAGTGTGTGAGGAACCAGGTGAGTGTGTGAGGAACCAGGTGAGTGTGTGAGGAACCAGGTGGTAGGAACAGGTGAGTTGTGAGGAACCAGGTGAGTGTGTGAGGAACCAAGTGAGTGTGTGAGGAATCAGGTAAGTGTGTGAGGAACCAGGTGAGTGTGTGAGGAACCAGGTGAGTGTGTGAGGAACCAGGTGAGTGTGGAGGAAACCAGGTGAGTGTGTGAGGAACCAGGTGAGTGTGTGAGGAACCAGGTGAGTGTGTGAGGAACCAGGTGAGTGTGTGAGGAACCAGGTGAGTGTGTGAGGAACCAGGTGAGTGTGTGAGGAACCAGGTGAGTGTTGAGGAACAGGTGAGTGTGTGAGGAAACAGTGAGTGTGTGAGGAACAGTGAGTGTGTGAGGAATCAGGTGAGTGTGTGGAGGAACCAGGTGAGTGTGTGAGAACCAGGTGTAGTGTGGAGGAACCAGGTGAGTGTGTGAGGAACCAGGTGAGTGTGTGAGGAACCAGGTGAGTGTGTGAGGAAACAGGTGAGTGTGTGAGGAACCAAGTGAGTGTGTGAGGAATCAGGTGAGTGTGTGAGGAACCAGGTGAGTGTGTAAGGAACCAGGTGAGTGTGTGAGGAACCAGGTGAGTGTGTGAGGAACCAGGTGTGTGAGACAGGTGAGTGTGAGGAAACAGGTGAGTGTGTGAGGAACCAAGTGAGTGTGTGAGGAATCAGGTGATGTGGAGGAACCAGGTGAGTGTGTGAAGGAACCAGGTGAGTGTGTGAGGAACCAGGTGAGTGTGTGAGAACCAGGTGAGTGTGTGAGGAACAGTGATGTGTGAGGAACCAAGTGAGTGTGTGAGGAATCAGTGTGTGAGGAACCAGGTGAGTGTGTGAGGAACCAGGTGAGTGTGTGAGGAACCAGGTGAGTGTGAGGAACCAGGTGAGTGGTGAGGAACCAAGTGAGTGTGTGAGGAATCAGGTGAGTGTGTGAGGAACCAGGTGAGTGTGTGAGGAACAGGTGAGTGTGTGAGGAACCATGAGTGTGTGAGGAACAGGTGAGTGTGTGAGGAACCAGGTGAGTGTGTGAGGAACCAGGTGAGTGTGTGAGGAAACAGGTGAGTGTGTGGAACCAAGTGAGTGTGTGAGAATCAGGTGAGTGTGTGAGGAACCAAGGTGAGTGTGTGAGGAACCAGGTGAGTGTGTGAGGAACCAGGTGAGTGTGTGAGGAAACAGGTGAGTGTGTGAGGAACCAAGTGAGTGTGTGAGGAATCAGGTGAGTGTGTGAGGAACCAGGTGAGTGTGTGAGGAACCAGGTGAGTGTGTGAGTAACCAGGCGAGTGTGTGGGGAACCAGGTGAGTGTGTGAGGAACCAGGCGAGTGTGTGAGGAACCAGGTGAGTGTGTGAGTAACCAGGCGAGTGTGGAGGAACCAGGGGAGTGTGTGAGGAACCAGGTGAGTGTGTGAAGGAACCAGGTGAGTGTGTGAGGAACCAGGTGAGTGTGTGAGGAACCAGGTGAGTGTGTGAGGAACCAGGTGAGTGTGTGAGGAACCAGGTGTGTGAGGAACCAGGTGAGTGTGTGAGGAACCAGGTGAGTGTGTGAGGAACCAGGTGAGTGTGTGAGGAACCAGGTGAGTGTGTGAGGAACCAGGTGAGTGTGTGAGGAACCAGGTGAGTGTGTGAGGAACCAGGTGTGAGGAAAGGGGTTATATAGGCAAGAAGGTACATGAACGATTCCATACTAAGTGCGTTAGCAGGTGAGTAAAGTACATAAAGAGCTGAGTGAAGTGCGTGAGGCAAGTGAATCCCTAAGAAAGCAGCTGAGGAGAGTGTGTGTGCGTGAGACAAGGCATGTACGTGATATGAGTGCGTCAGAGTGCAAGTGTGAGTGTATGTGAGGCGCTGCTGCTGGGTGACGCACACAGCCACCCCACACTGCCACCCACCCACAAAAACCCAATTTTAACCCCATAACCCCCCCTCCCACCAACCCAAAACCCACCCACACCCCTCCACAAGGAACCCATCTACCCACACAAACCACCAAAACCAAATCCGCCAAGTAACCCCCCCAAAAAACCCAATTATAATTAACCAAAAGGTGACGAAGGAGCAAGACCTTCTAGCGGCTAGAGTAAGAAATAACATCCGGGAATCAGTGTTATGGCGGCCGTGAGGGAGGGAGAATATGACGCAGAAACTACCCACTTACCTGTTACTAATGGAAAATGTGTAGGGGATGAGGTGAAGGAGGAACAAGAGAGCCAGGTAGAGCAAGTTGAGAGCCTCGTCCAGGGGAGAGATAAGGGGAGCTTCAGGAATTTTCCAGGATTTCTGGACATGTCGTCGCCAGCTTCTCCATCTTCGTTGGGAAAAATGGATTCAAAGTATTCACCAGGTATAGACTTGGCTTCCAGCACATCTGGTGGTTGCTTTGTGTCCTCTACTACCTGTCTAATTACCCTTAGGCCTATTGAGGCTGCTTGTAGGCCTAGGAGAGCCTGACATTCCTCTCAGGCCTATGCACCTGTTCCCCCCAATAAGCTTATAAATCCTTCCAACTTATTAAACCCACTTATTTCACACTTTTCCCCCACTGGGGGTGTTACCCAGTGGTTAGTACACCACCTATAGGCTGAAATATCGTGTAAATTAAGCCTCCTTCCCCCTCAAATACCGGAAATAAGTCATTTTATATCTCGGTTTTTATTCCAGGAAATCTTTCAGTTCAGCGTAGAAGGAACTTGACGCCAGTAATTGCGTTTTAAGTGGTCAGGTGGGGGTTTAGGTGGGTGGTGGGGGCCGGCAGTAGGTGCTAATGCTTTCTAATTATGTACCTGGGCTTCAGGTGCCTCATATATATAACTGTACCTTATCCACACTACAGGTTAAGCTATCAGACGTCTCCCAAGACGGATATTATGGCAGATTTCTTCATTTTTTCTTATTCTCCCGCCTTATATACACCCAGGTGTGTGTATCTGGGTATATACACACGTATTTTATATCTGTGTGTATATATTGAGGTGTAGAATGAGGTTTCTGAAGCCATAAAGCCTATAGTGCCTAGACATAATAGGCTCAATTTGCATTGCAACCCAGTATTATAAATACAAAATCTTAATGTATTACTTGCAAAGACATAAAATAAATAAATGCAATAAAGCATTTGGGAAGGTTTGACCAGTCAATGGGGACTGATTACCCCAGAGTCCTCTATGTTCTCTGTATTGGACTGATGAAGCCACTGACTGGCAAAACGTTTCCTTAATATTTCCCATGTGTGGCACAAGTGTCTCATTTACATTACATAGACTGAGGTGTGTATATCTCATTGTATAGATGTGTGTATATGTCAGCCTATATACACAAAGGTGTTTTATTGTATACACATTGACAGGTGTTTATATCACTTAAGTGTGGTGTGTATTTTACTATATATATGGGTGTATTTATCTCATATACACTGAGGTGTATATCATATACACTGAGGTGTATATCATATACACTGAGGTGTATATCATATACACTGAGGTGTATATCATATACACTGAGGTGTATATCATATACACAGGTGTATATGATATACACTGAGGTGTATATCATATACACAGGTGTATATGATATACACTGAGGTGTATATCATATACACAGGTGTATATCATATACACTGAGGTGTATATCATATACACTGAGGTGTATATCATATACACAGGTGTGTATATGATATACACTGAGGTTGTATATCATATACACTGAGGTGTATATCATATACACTGAGGTGTATATCATATACACTGAGGTGTATATCATATACACTGAGGTGTATATCATATACACTGAGGTGTGTATATCATATACACTGAGTGTGTATATCATATACACTGAGTGTGTATATCATATACACTGAGGTGTATATCATATACACTGAGGTGTATATCATATACACTGAGGTGTATATGATATACATTGAGGTGTATATCATATACACTGAGATGCATCTTATATACACACTGTATATAATATATATAAACTGAGGTGCATGTATATTATATACATTGTATGTGTGTACCATATACACTGAGGTGTGTATGTCATATACACTGAAGTGTGTGTATATCGTATACACAGGGGTGTACATATCTCATATACACTGAGGGGTGTGTGTATGCCATATACACTGAATTGTGTGTATCTCATATACACTGAATTGTGTGTCATATACACTGGTGTGTGTATATCTTATATACACTGAGGGGTGTGTATATCATATACACTGAGGGGTGTGTATATCATATACACTGAGGGGTGTGTATATCATATACACTGAGGGGTGTGTATATCATATACACTGAGGGGTGTGTATATCATACACTGAGGGGTGTGTATATCATATACACAACTGAGGGGATTGTGTATATCATATACATCATGAGGGTGTGTATATCATACACTGAGGGGTGTATATCATATACACTGAGGGGTGTGTATATCATACACTGAGGGGTGTGTATATTATATACACTGAGGGGTGTGTATATCATATACACTGAGGGGTGTGTATATCATATACACTGAGGGGTGTGTATATCATATACACTGAGGGGTGTGTATATCATATACACTGAGGGGTGTGTAATCATATACACTGGGGGTGTGGTATATCATATACACTGAGGGGTGTGTATATCATATACACTGAAGTGTGTGAGTACATTAAAATGTATATATCTCACTACAGACACTTGAGATGTGCAGATCTATGTATACACCCTGAAGTGTGTATCAGGGTATACATATTTATATACTATATCTGTATATACACTAAGTTATATATACATTGAAAGATGTTTCTCCTAGTGTATATACTGAGGTGTGTATATGTATGTATGCACGACTATCTGTACTTTATGTATGTATTCTGTATATATTTATGTATGTGTGTGTACTGCATGTATGTATATGTATGTGCATGTGTGGGTGTGTATGTGTGGCTACAGAGTTCAAGTCACAGCTCTTGGCCCCGCCTCTTTGCTGGTTGCTACTAGGTTCAGTCTCCTGGCTTCAAAAGTCTTATCATACCTCTTCTTTGAGATGTTTGGATCCTGTGTGTGTGTGTGTGTGTGTGTGTGTGTGTGTGTGTGTGTGTGTGTATATACTTGTAAGGGTATGTGTGTACATGTTTGTGTATGTACATGTGTGTACATGTTTGTGTATGTACATGTGTGTATATGTGTGTTCATGTTTGTGTATGTACATATGTGTATATGTGTATACATGTTTATGTACATGTGTGTATGTGTATACATGTTTGTGTATGTACATGTGTGTATGTGTGTGTACATGTTTGTGTATGTACATGTTTGTGTATGTTCATGTGTGTATGTGTGTACATGTTTGTGTATGTACATTGTGTGTGTACGTGTTTGTGTATGTACATGTGTGTGTGTACATGTTTGTGTATGTACATGTGTGTACATGTTTGTGTATGTACATGTGTGTACATGTTTATGTACATGTGTGTACATGTTTGTGTATGTACATGTGTGTACATGTTTGTGTATGTACATGTGTGTACATGTTTGTGTATGTACATGTGTGTACATGTTTGTGTATGTACATGTGTGTACATGTTTGTGTATGTACATGTGTGTACATGTTTGTGTATGTACATGTGTGTACATGTTTGTGTATGTACATGTGTGTACATGTTTGTGTATATACATGTGTGTGTGTACATGTTTATGTACATGTGCATGTGTACATGTTTGTGTATGTACGTGTGTGTGTACATGTTTGTGTATGTACATGTGTGTGTACATGTTTGTGATGTACAGTGTGTACATGTTTGTGTATGTACAGTGTGTGTGTACATGTTTGTGTATGTACATGTGTATGTGTTACATGTTTGTGTATGTACATGTGTGTGTACATTTGGTATGTACGTGTGTGTACATGTTTGTGTATGTACATGTGTGTGTACATGTTTGTGTATGTACATGTTGTGTACATGTTTGTGTATGTACATGTGTGTGTACATGTTTGTGTATGTACATGTGTGTGTACATGTTTGTGTATGTACATGTGTGTACATGTTTGTGTATGTACATGTGTGTGTACATGTTTGTGTATGTACATGTGTGTGTACATGTTTGTGTATGTACATGTGTGTGTACATGTTTGTGTATGTACATGTGTGTACATGTTTGTGTATGTACATGTGTGTACATGTTTGTGTATGCACATGTGTGTACATGTTTGTGTATGTACATGTGTGTACATGTTTGTGTATGTACATGTGTGTGTACATGTTTGTGTATGTACATGTGTGTGTACATGTTTGTGTATGTACATGTGTGTGTACATGTTTGTGTATGTACATGTGTGTGTACATGTTTGTGTATGTACATGTGTGTGTACATGTTTGTGTATGTACATGTGTGTGTACATGTTTGTGTATGTACATGTGTGTACATTTTATAGTTTAATGATAACCTATAATCGTTAATCCTCTTGTTATCCTAATGTTGTATAATGTCTTGGAGTTATTATATGTTTGAATTACATGTTAATACATTGCTTACTTTCACATTGAGTTAGAATTCTAATATCAGATTAATTCCTACTGTAATTACTGCTAGGTTTAAATAGATATTACAAGGTCTCCTGGGTAATTTACATATGCTGATGTATGATAATTCATGTTAACTGTATATGTGTTATCTATACCGAACTTAACTTACGTGACCCTTCAGTTTCGTTACTTGCCATACTGTAATAATACTGTACAGTATAATATTATTGAATGCCCTTATTAATTATGTCCTGGCGAGCCTTATTATCATGTTTGTATTAACCGTTTTTTATTATCTTCTCTATGACCCTTCTTATCTTATATCCCGATGCAATTTCAGATAATATACTGTATGTTTAGGGTTTTTAAATAATTTGTACCATACAGTACAGAATACAGTATTTCAGCTACAGATAAAATTATATGATATATATTTAAGTAGTTACTGGAATGGATTTTATTACTCATGTAAGAACAATAGATAATAACATTCGTATATATCCACTGTCCTTTCAAGCGGGAGGCCTTGATGCGTAAGGCTCTTGATCCAGGTAATTGAACTGCTTTCCTTTCCTTAGATCAGAACTAATTACCTACAGTATGTATAGCTTTTCCTGAATATAAACTGAACACAACAATGTTTATTAAAATAGCTATGGCAGAACGTGGTTGCAACAAGAAATTATTTGTTTGGTACTTGTTTAATAAAATAATTGACGTTAAGCACTAAACCCATGTGGGTCTTTCAGTACTCTTGTAAGATTCAGAAGAATGTACCAATGTCTAAATGAAATGTATGAACTATGTAGGGACCCTGATAGAATAAATCGTTTTGAGGAATTGTGACTTGTCAGGATGATAATAATTCTAATATTCTTTATTTCTTCAATTTCATGATACAACTTATACAGACCATAGCTGACATCACTGGCATACTGCTATATAGAAAGCCCTTTGTTATGCAGAGCATTTCGAGCAAATTAGGTCAATTTTGTCCCCAAGATGCAACCCATACCATTCAGCTAACACCCTGGTACCTATTTTACTGCTAGGTGAACAGGGGCAGCAGGTGTCTTAAGGAAACACATCCCAATGTTTCCAGCCGTACTGGGTATCAAGCCACAGATGACGGTGTGTGAGCCGAGTGTGCAATAATAGAAAGTTGTAAATTCACATTACCTATATATGTGGCCTACCTAAATTGCTAATGAACAAGTAGATGCTCCATATAAATAAAGTAAAAAATATGGAGCATCTTATCTATCTACTGTAAATCAGTACAACGATGATAGCTTTCAAAAGCAGTGTTAACCCGTAAACAGTCCAAACGTATATATACGTTTTTTTCAACATTTGAAAGTATGTAAAAAAAGTAGATCTTGTTTTTGTTTTTTTACATTTGAAAATGTGTAAAAAAAACTTTGATCTACTTTTTTTTTTGTTATATTTGAAAATATGTAAAAAAAACGTAGATCTACTTTTGTAGCACTACACATGTGAACGTAGATCTGCTTGGACCGTTTACGGGTTAAAGAAAACTAAATTAAATTACCTGTTTGTGTGATATTGCAGCAACAGTTGTCAACTAGTGAAAAAATATAGAAAACAGAATAAGCTTTAGTTGTAAATGGTATAGTGACATAGATTGTGGAGTTCTGAATATTAATTAAATAATTTTTTAACACACCGGGCATCTCCCACCAAAGCAGACTGACCTGGAAAAGAAAAAACACTTTATTCTTTGTTGTAGTAACTCCTAAATTGATTGTTAATATGCTAGAATTTTCATTACTTGTATTCCTTAAAACAATTAAACTTCATAAAAGTGTTTACTGTTAAAACCACTTGAGATAAAACAATTAAACTTCATAAAAGTGTTTACTGTTAAAACCACTTGAGACTATATATATAAACAATCAGTTTTGTTGTATTAATCTTAGGATACAAATATTTATTTCCTTATTAAGCTTACAATGTGCGGTTTACATGTTATAAGATTCAAATTACAAAGATGGCCAAAGGTGACCAGGAGGCCTGGTCACAGACCGGGCCGCGGGGGCGTTGACCCCCGGAACTCTCTCCAGGTAACTCCAGGTATCACTTTGACTCATGAAATCGTAATGACACGATTGCAAACAAACCATACCACGGGCGGGATTGAACCCGCGGGTTCAATCCCGCCCGTGGTATGGTTTATGGCCACTATCGTGCCTAGGTACTCGGGCAGACTAATACTAATTCTTATGCTATTTTGATGTAAGCATAAGTTTGCCTGAAATGCTGTGTGTGCTAAGGAGTTTTCTGCATGCACACCTAAATGTAGCCCATCTCTGCATAAACATTGTATCATGCTGAAAGAAAGAATCTTTAAACATAGTCAGTCATCTCACACCTTAGTTGTCTTTGTAATTAGATGATTTCATGATTCCTTGTTTCACTGTGATTGACAGTTTTCCTATTTTCTTGCTCTTCTACAGATTTATCCCCTTTTCTTCTCCCTCTACTTGTTTTCCATCGTTTCTTTTAGTATTTTAATATCTGTTTATCTTTGTTCTAATTTATATTATGTATAGCATTAGTTGTTATCGATTGCTAGATGCTACCAAGATATCTGTCAGTCGGTCAAATATATTTCCACCTGATACATCACTTGTACAAAATTGCATGATATTACAACAAGAGAGGTTGAAGCCCCTTAGTTATACTGAACATTTTTGGGAAGCTTAAACCTTAATTATCCCTAGAAGGACTTTAGTACTATGTTAAATAGTATATGTATACAAGATATTAATGATATTCACTATAATAAACATTTAATGGATGTAAATCAAATGTATATGTAGTAGATAAAGTCAAGGCTGTTGGAGTGTAAGAAAGGTAACACTTATGAAGGGATTCGTCTTCGCTCCGCTGCTCTCTCTTTACCTTCCCTTCTCGCTGATGGACCCGCCTTTCATCCGGACTCTCTCATTGACTTTTTGACAACAACTGACTTCACAAATTCTGATACCTTCAGCCCTTTCTACCTCAATCTCTTGCTACCCTCTACCCCCGTACTATCCCCTGCCCTGCTGTTTTCTGTAACCTACTGATCATCCCTCCCCCCTTCTGCCGCCCAATACCCTCGCTTCCTTCCCTACCATGCAGCGCTGTATAGCCCTTGTGGCTTAGCGCTTCTTTTTGATTATAATAATAATATGAAGGGATTCAAAGAAACCGGCAGCCAGACTTGAGTCCTGGAGGTGGGAAGTACAGTGTCTGCACTCTGTTACTGTTGCAGTTTTATAACTGTAGTGTAAACGTGACTCTGGCAAGACAGTGATGAAACCATACCACGGGCGGGATTTGAACCCGCGGTCAGAGAGTCTCAAAACTCCAGACTCTCTGACCGCGGGTTCAAATCCCGCCCGTGGTATGGTTTGTTTGCAATCGTGTCATTACGATTTCGTGAGTCAAGACAGTGATGGAGTGAACGATGGTGAAAGTTTTTCTTTTTCGGACCACCCTGCCTTGTTGGGAGACGGCTGATGTGTTAATAAATAATAAAAAAGTCACTGCAAAGGTACATGAGGAAGAAAACGTATGAATTATGATAAAAATATTAATTTATTTCAAAGTAAAAATTAAAAAAAAAATACAAAAGTGAAACTAGTAACATGAATTATTACAAAATATGATGAAATAGTATTTTATTTTTATGTATACAAGACAGTAATGATATTCAGTAATATAAATTCAGTGAAAATGACTCAAATGTATATGAAGTATGTAGATAATACAGTAAGATACATGAGAATTAGATTATATAGATTATATACTATAAAAAAAATACCACAGTGGAAATATGAAACAAAGCTTGAGCACTTTCATATACATCTTCAGAAGATGTGTGTGTAAGTACACACATCCACACAAGATGTGCATGTAAGTACACACATCCACACAAGATGTGCGTGTAAGTACACACATCCACACAAGATGTGCGTGTAAGTACAACACATCCTCACAAGATGTGCGTGTAAGTACACACATCCTCACAAGATGTGCGTGTAAGTACACACATCCTCACAAGATGTGCGTGTAAGTACACACATCCACACAAGATGTGCGTGTAAGTACACACATCCTCACAAGATGTGCGTGTAAGTACACACATCCTCACAAGATGTGCGTGTAAGTACACACATCTTCACAAGATGTGCGTGTAAGTACACACATCTTCACAAGATGTGCGTGTAAGTACACACATCTTCACAAGATGTGCGTGTAAGTACACACATCCACACAAGATGTGCGTGTAAGTACAGTACATAAAAGCACTCAGGTTTTATTTCCTATTTTCACTTTTTTTTCATAGTATTTGCAATCACACATTTTAAATTGTGATTTCTTCCATGGATTATGCTACATAAATATTAAGAGTATTCACTAATTCAAAATTGTAATTTTAATACAAATTACTTTAAGAATGAAGCCAGCTCTCTGAATTAATACAAAATATGAGTGGATAGTATATGTCTTATCTAACAATATACAGTGGACCCCCGCATAACGATCACCTCCGAATGCGACCAATTATGTAAGTGTATTTATGTAAGTGCGTTTGTAAGTGTATGTTCGGGGGTCTGAAATGGACTAGTCTACTTCACAATATTCCTTATGGGAACAAATTCGGTCAGTACTGGCACCTGAACATACTTCTGGAGTGAAAAAATATCGTTAACCTGGGGTCCACTGTATATAATAGTGGAAGGAAAAATGGAACAAGCATACAGACAACACTGGATGAGAGACGGGGTTTCAGAATATGTTTTTATGTTTTTTTTTTTTAATAAATTATTGTCAGGATCACATTAAGGTAAGAAGGTGCTTTTTGACACTACCTTTAAAGTGGTTGACAGATAGGGAGCCTCTGGAATCTTCAGTCAGAGAGTCTCAGGTTTTAGGCCCTTTTATGCTTAGTTTTTACACAGGTTGAGTTGGACGTGGGGAATATCGTACAGATTTTTGTCTAGTGTCATGTCTGCGAGTTCTGTTGCAGCTATCGAGAAAGTGTTTCTGGGCAGGATTAATATTTAAATTGATTGTCCTGTTTATGTAGCATGCACACTAATATAAGTGACTAATGTATATTGAGTAAATTTGAACTTCTCAAGAGTGGGGGAGTATGTTGTCTGGCACTAGACTGAGTGATCATTTGTGTAACTGCACTGCCTTTTATTGAGTTATTATTGGTTGTAGGTGATTTGCAGTATAGTGGATCCCCAGGAACAAATATCATAGGTGAGGTAGGGATAAATCAGAGTAATAGTAGTTCTGTTTAAGGTACATAGTAACGTATCTTAGAGAAGGTGCCAACTAGCTTAGAAACATTTTTTGCTCGCTAACCACTTAAGTGAGAAGCAAGAAGAGAAATTGTCCAACTTAGAATCACAGTTTTCAAATCTTATGATAAATATTTTTAAGGTTTATATTGACTGGTAATAGAGAACAGCACCATTACTGTTATTTCCTTTTGTCCATCAGAGGAAACTACAGACATTCAAAGCTTGCTTATTATGATTTCTTTATTTCTAGAACCGCCTTTATGCAGTGCAGAGTCAGGTCCATTAGACACAAGTGATCACCACCACCATCACCACCATCACCACCACAGGGATCATCACCACCACCATCACCATAAGAAAAAGAAGCACAGGGAAAGAGACAGAGACCGGGCCCACCATAAGAAACACCGGCACAGGGTAAGTTTTCAATTTACAAAACACTGATATGTTTAAATGCCAAGATCCTCCATATTAATACAGGATAAAATAATGAAAATACTCTACCTAATGTAATGAAAATGCCTTTAATTTCAAAATATTCATTTCACTGGTAATGGACTTCATGGAATTTGGCTCATACTGTATTTATTAGCTGTCTGTTGAACTTACCCAAATTGTGAAATGTTATTACCCCTTTAAAATAAATAAAGATACATATGTATGTCCTAGGTAGTAGGTTGGTAGACAGCAACCGCCCAGGGAGGTACTACCGTCCTGCCAAGTGAGTGTAAAACGGAAACCTGTAATTGTTTTACATGAAGGTAGGGGTTGCTTAAATGTGCGTGGATGTAGTGCGGATGACAAGAAACAGATGATTGCTGATGTTATGAATGAAAAGAAGTTGGATGTCCTGGCCCTAAGCGAAACAAAGCTGAAGGGGGTAGGAGAGTTTCAGTGGGGGGAAATAAATGGGATTAAATCTGGAGTATCTGAGAGAGTTAGAGCAAAGGAAGGGGTAGCAGTAATGTTAAATGATCAGTTATGGAAGGAGAAAAGAGAATATGAATGTGTAAATTCAAGAATTATGTGGATTAAAGTAAAGGTTGGATGCGAGAAGTGGGTCATAATAAGCGTGTATGCACCTGGAGAAGAGAGAAATGCAGAGGAGAGAGAGAGATTTTGGGAGATGTTAAGTGAATGTATAGGAGCCTTTGAACCAAGTGAGAGAGTAATTGTGGTAGGGGACTTGAATGCTAAAGTAGGAGAAACTTTTAGAGAGGGTGTGGTAGGTAAGTTTGGGGTGCCAGGTGTAAATGATAATGGGAGCCCTTGATTGAACTTTGTATAGAAAGGGGTTTAGTTATAGGTAATACATATTTTAAGAAAAAGAGGTAAATAAGTATACACGATATGATGTAGGGCGAAATGACAGTAGTTTGTTGGATTATGTATTGGTAGATAAAAGACTGTTGAGTAGACTTCAGGATGTACATGTTTATAGAGGGGCCACAGATATATCAGATCACTTTCTAGTTGTAGCTACACTGAGAGTAAAAGGTAGATGGGATACAAGGAGAATAGAAGCATCAGGGAAGAGAGAGGTGAAGGTTTATAAACTAAAAGAGGAGGTAGTTAGGGTAAGATATAAACAGCTATTGGAGGATAGATGGGCTAATGAGAGCATAGGCAATGGGGTCGAAGAGGTATGGGGTAGGTTTAAAAATGTAGTGTTAGAGTGTTCAGCAGAAGTTTGTGGTTACAGGAAAGTGGGTGCAGGAGGGAAGAGGAGCGATTGGTGGAATGATGATGTAAAGAGAGTAGTAAGGGAGAAAAAAGTTAGCATATGAGAAGTTTTAACAAAGTAGAAGTGATGCAAGGAGGGAAGAGTATATGGAGAAAAAGAGAGAAGTTAAGAGAGTGGTGAAGCAATGTAAAAAGAGAGCAAATGAGAGAGTGGGTGAGATGTTATCAACAAATTTTGTTGAAAATAAGAAAAAGTTTTGGAGTGAGATTAACAAGTTAAGAAAGCCTAGAGAACAAATGGATTTGTCAGTTAAAAATAGGAGAGGAGAGTTACTAAATGGAGAGTTAGAGGTATTGGGAAGATGGAGGGAATATTTTGAGGAATTGTTAAATGTTGATGAAGATAGGGAAGCTGTGATTTCGTGTATAGGGCAAGGAGGAATAACATCTTGTAGGAGTGAGGAAGAGCCAGTTGTGAGTGTGGGGGAAGTTCGTGAGGCAGTAGGTAAAATGAAAGGGGGTAAGGCAGCCGGGATTGATGGGATAAAGATAGAAATGTTAAAAGCAGGTGGGGATATAGTTTTGGAGTGGTTGGTGCAATTATTTAATAAATGTATGGAAGAGGGTAAGGTACCTAGGGATTGGCAGAGAGCATGCATAGTTCCTTTGTATAAAGGCAAAGGGGATAAAAGAGAGTGGAAAAATTATAGGGGGATAAGTCTGTTGAGTGTACCTGGTAAAGTGTATGGTAGAGTTATAATTGAAAGAATTAAGAGTAAGACGGAGAATAGGATAGCAGATGAACAAGGAGGCTTTAGGAAAGGTAGGGGGTGTGTGGACCAGGTGTTTACAGTGAAACATATAAGTGAACAGTATTTAGATAAGGCTAAAGAGGTCTTTGTGGCGTTTATGGATTTGGAAAAGGCGTATGACAGGGTGGATAGGGGGGCAATGTGGCAGATGTTGCAAGTGTATGGTGTAGGAGGTAGGTTACTGAAAGCAGTGAAGAGTTTTTACGAGGATAGTGAGGCTCAAGTTAGAGTATGTAGGAAAGAGGGAAATTTTTTCCCAGTAAAAGTAGGCCTTAGACAAGGATGTGTGATGTCACCGTGGTTGTTTAATATATTTATAGATGGGGTTGTAAGAGAAGTAAATGCGAGGGTCTTGGCAAGAGGCGTGGAGTTAAAAGATAAAGAATCACACACAAAGTGGGAGTTGTCACAGCTGCTCTTTGCTGATGACACTGTGCTCTTGGGAGATTCTGAAGAGAAGTTGCAGAGATTGGTGGATGAATTTGGTAGGGTGTGCAAAAGAAGAAAATTAAAGGTGAATACAGGAAAGAGTAAGGTTATGAGGATAACAAAAAGATTAGGTGATGAAAGATTGAATATCAGATTGGAGGGAGAGAGTATGGAGGAGGTGAACGTATTCAGATATTTGGGAGTGGACGTGTCAGCGGATGGGTCTATGAAAGATGAGGTGAATCATAGAATTGATGAGGGAAAAAGAGTGAGTGGTGCACTTAGGAGTCTGTGGAGACAAAGAACTTTGTCCTTGGAGGCAAAGAGGGGAATGTATGAGAGTATAGTTTTACCAACGCTCTTATATGGGTGTGAAGCGTGGGTGATGAATGTTGCAGCGAGGAGAAGGCTGGAGGCAGTGGAGATGTCATGTCTGAGGGCAATGTGTGGTGTGAATATAATGCAGAGAATTCGTAGTCTGGAAGTTAGGAGGAGGTGCGGGATTACCAAAACTGTTGTCCAGAGGGCTGAGGAAGGGTTGTTGAGGTGGTTCGGACATGTAGAGAGAATGGAGCGAAACAGAATGACTTCAAGAGTGTATCAGTCTGTAGTGGAAGGAAGGCGGGGTAGGGGTCGGCCTAGGAAGGGTTGGAGAGAGGGGGTAAAGGAGGTTTTGTGTGCGAGGGGCTTGGACTTCCAGCAGGCATGCGTGAGCGTGTTTGATAGGAGTGAATGGAGACAAATGGTTTTTAATACTTGACGTGCTGTTGGAGTGTGAGCAAAGTAACATTTATGAAGGGATTCAGGGAAACCGGCAGGCCGGACTTGAGTCCTGGAGATGGGAAGTACAGTGCCTGCACTCTGAAGGAGGGGTGTTAATGTTGCAGTTTAAAAACTGTAGTGTAAAGCACCCTTCTGGCAAGACAGTGATGGAGTGAATGATGGTGAAAGTTTTTCTTTTTCGGGCCACCCTGCCTTGGTGGGAATCGGCCAGTGTGATAAAAAAATAATAAAAAATAAGGATTGCTTGTGTCCATTTTTCTGTCTCATAAACATGCAAGGTTTCAGGTACGTCTTGCTACTTCTACTTACACTTAGGTCACACTACACACACATGTACAAGCATATATATACACACCCCTCTGGGTTTTCTTCCATTTTTTTACTAGTTCTTGTTCTTGTTTATTTCCTCTTACCTCCATGGGGAAGTGGAACAGAATTCTTCCTCCATAAGTCATGCGTGTTGTAAGAGGCGACTAAAATGCTGGGAGCAAGGGGCTAGTAACCTCTTCTCCTGTATATATTACTAAATGTACAAGGAGAAACCTTTGTTTTTCCTTTTGGGCCACCCCCGCCTCGGTGGGATACGGCCGGTGTGTTGAAAGAAGAAGAAAAACATATGTATGTATGTATGCATGGGTGGTGAATGTTGCAACAAGGAGGAGGCTGGAGGCAGTGGAGATGTGCCTGAGGGCAAGTTGTGGTGTGAATATTATGCAGAGAATTCATAGCTTGGAAATTAGAAGGAGGTGCGGGGTTACTAAAAGTATTTTCCAGTGCGCTTAGGAGGGGTTGTTAGGTGGTTCGGACATTTAGAGAGGATGGAACAAAATGAGTTGGAGGGTGTATAAATCAGCAGTTGAAGGGAAGGCAGGGCAGTTGTCCTAGGAAAGGTTAGAAGGAGCAGGTAAAGGAGGTTTTGTGTGCTAGGGGCTTTGATGTCCAGCAAGCATGTTAGAAGTGAGTGGGGCAAGTGAATTTTTATGACTTGAGGTGCTGTTGGAGTGTGAACAATTTACATTTATGAAGGGATTCAGGGAGACCAGTTACCAGACCTGAGTCCTGGAGGTGGGAAGTAAAATGCCTGCACTCTGAAGGAGGGGTAGGGATATTTGCAGTCTTAAACTGTAGTATTGGTACCCCACTGGCAAGACAGTAATCAAGTGAGAAATGGTGAAAGTGTTTCTTCTTTTTTTGGCTGCCCTACCTTAGTGGGAGATGACTGGAATGTTAAAAATATGTATACTTCTTTGTATTTTATTAAAAGACAGTATTGTTTTACTGGCCTTTCTTCGTCTTTCTTATTTGCTTCCATATTACTGTACTGTAATCTAAAAGCTAGTTTCAATCTTAGGATAAAGATCGCAGTGGAGAAGCTCGTATCAGATGGAGAAGTGAAAATGGAAGCAGTGGCAGTGGAACACCAGAGCACGATGCTTCAGAGGTATGAGATAACCTGGAGAAGTGGCTTATATACTGAAGTCAGGTGAGTAGAAGCAGGAGGAGATGGAGTCACCATTGGACAAATTCACTGGTTTAAGTTGGTCATGACTGTAGGCTGGGTAAAGGCAGAAGAATTCCCTGTATCAAGGTTCCAAGATGTTGCAACATCTCATATCAAGATGTTGTGTAATATCCCTGTATCAAGATGTTGCAATGTCTTGAGATCTGTGAACATGGAATCTTTCTATGCTTATCTAACCTGCGACCTACTTACACCACGGATTTGTCCAGCAGCGCCTTCTGCTTCTAATCACCTGATTGCATAAACTGTGATGGATTGAACACGTAAACTGTTTTAAAGCATTTGTATACTGTATGTGTACTGCATTTAGTTTTCTGTGTTGGTTTTTATTACTGTAACCAGATTTAGACAAATGACATATATTAATTTTAGTTATACTGTATTTTAGAATTTTTCAGTATTCACATTTGGCATTATCGTAGGTTTTTATTATTATGTCATTGCCTTATTTAAAGGCAGGGTGAGTGTGAATTCAGTATTCCCTCAAAACACGGCCTAATGACAGAACTGATAAAACAATGGCAGTGCTATATTTAATTCTTCAGATTTGTTTGTGTGTAAATACCGTACATGAATATTCGTCCTCTTTGTTTGCCCTGTATGTAAGATGTATTTTGTAAGTTCTTATTCGTAATCCCTTATGTAAAGGTAATATATATTTTTAACTTTTGCATGGAAAGATGCATGAAACGAGATTTACTCACACTGTACAGGTATCCCTGTCTCTCTTACACAGTAGATGTAGTCCAGGCCCACTGCGGTTGTATTAATCTCAACCAGGCTGTCAACACTTAACCCGTAAACGGTCCAAGCAATCTACGTTCACATGTGTAGTACTACAAAAGTAGATCTACGTTTTTTTTTTTTTTACATATTTTCAAATATAACAAAAAAAAAAAGTAGATCAAAGTTTTTTACACATTTTCAAATGTAAAAACAAAAGCAAAAAGAAGATCTACTTTTTTTACATACTTTCAAATGTTGAAAAAACGTATATATACGTTTGGACCGTTTACGGGTTAATTATACACAATAAGCGTCTTCAGTACATACTGATTGCACATGGCAAATGTATATCACACACATGGATTTAATAGAAGAAATTGTACACATCATAATAGTGAATTTGCTTAAAGTGAGCCTGCATGAACAGAGGGGAATCTTATACATATATGGTGAATCTATTCTTAACAGATTCTTCATTTTTCTAATTTTGAAGAGCCCTCAGTGTATGTTATAATTGATTTATTATTGTACTTTGGTATTGTTTCACTAAGCATGGATTTAGATTTTGCCACCGAAGTGGCTAGTTTATTGTGCACCCCATATCCATCCTGTGGATGGTAGCGCAAGAGCATGTGGATACACAAAAGGCCTAGGAACTAGGCCCCAAAGGGTTAACAGGAATACATATGGATTTATATCTACATATCTATAGTTCACTTATCTGTTACAAGCAAATTTAGGAAATTTGCTTAGTATATCTGGTATCTTATTTTCATTAATAAGATATCTTGACATGTCACATAGGTTATTATACTGTCTGTCTCTGTATTCCTCAATAAGTGGACAATTAAGCACATAGTGTTCAAGAGAGTGACCATATGCCTGATCACATAATTTACATTTAGTTTGATCATCTGTGTGTCTCCCAAACTGCCAGAAGTACTTGTAACCAAGCCTAAGTCTGGCCACTACAACATCAGTCAGTCTGTTCACATTGCAAGTTGCTCCATAAACATACTTATCTACGTTCATGTTATCATAGTGGGTTATAGATCTACTCAGGCTTCTAACTGCATTCCTATAACAATCATTTTCATTATTTACTTCTCTCCTAATATTATCTCCTACCTAAGCATGGTACTTAATAAAAGGGTGAAATTTTCTTTTCTCAATCAGGAGAGGAGCTACACTTCCCCCTGTTCACCAAGACACAAGAGTATTATCAAGAAGATGTCGAGGATCCTCTGAAGATGGCGACTCCTCACGATCACTGTCTCTTACTCCTCCAAGATGTCCCACTTCACCCACACACACGTAATAACATACATGATAGAAACAATCAGCAAAGCCATCCGGATTCCTCCAGGGTACCTCTGTTGCCGCATGGATTGGAGAATTCTTCACCTTCAACATCTTCACCAAGCCCTCCTATTCTGCCTACCTCATCAGCTACTCCACTTCCAAGACCACCTGGAACCCCTCCAATGTCAAGATCAAGTTGTATTCCTCCAAGATCCCCAGGCTCTTCTTCCCCACACGAGTCCCCAGGAACTCCATCCATAACATATCCTTCCTTACCCTTTCCTTTCTCAGTGCAAGCTGAAAACTCTGCTACTCCTAGAATATGTCCCACTTCACCATCATCCTTCCCTCCAAGACCTCACGAAACCTCCATACCTGTTACTCCAACTCGATCAATATCACCTGAATCTCCGTGGTCCCTCAGATCACCAGGAACACCTCCACCACCTCCAAGATCACCAGATATTCCTCCACCTCCTCCAAGGACTCCTGAAACTCCTCCCCTTCCTCCTGGCTCTCCTGAAAGTCCACCACCACCACCTGTATCAAAAGAAATTTCCCATAGATTAGAAGGAACTATTACTAATTCATATAGTTGTGAAGAAAGAGGTTTAGGAACTTTAGACAATCCCCCTCCTCCCCCTCCTCCCCCTATGTCTCCTGGTACACCACCACCCCTTCCATTACCTTCAGACACCCCACCTCCACCTCCTATGTCACCAGGAACCCCTCCACCACCTAACATGTCTCCTCAGAGCCCCCCTAATCGAAATTCATTGAAAAATTCACCACCTTCGTTTAAAAATCTCCCATCATTGTCACCAAGAGCATTTTCACCATCACATCTAGAATCTCATGAAAACTGTGCCAATCCTGTCTTAAATTCAGAGTCATGCCTTAAGGATAGTATGCTTCAGGAGGACAATCTAGAAAGAGATACACCATCACCATTACCTGATTGTACTTTTGAATGTCCTAAATCTCCTTCACCCCAGTTTGGTTCTCCATCATCTTCACGTTCTCCCTCTCCATCACCAATTCCAGCTACAAGACCGAGGAGTCCCCTCCCATCTGTAGTAAACATGTCACAATCCCTAAGAGTAGTTGCTCCTCCAAGTCCTTCTCTTGTTCCATTAAAAACAGAAATTCTATCACCTAGGGTGCCTATACCTGACATTCTTTCGCCAACTAACTCTGTTAAAACAGACATAATGTCCCCACCCCACCAGAGTCCACGTCAAGGGATTCTTTCCCCAACACATCCAACTAGACCCAAGCTGATATCACCTGTTTCTTCGTGTCCAAAATCACCAAAAGTCAGAAGTCCACCAAGAACACGTCCAAGAAGTCCAATGGATTTACCTGTTCCTAAATGGAAGCCTGATCCAGTAATTAGACAGAAAAGGTCATCTGAGTCAAGAACATCAATTTCTTCTATTTCTTCTATGTCATCTGTTACTGAAGTTATTGTCCCAGTGACTCCAAGACCAGTTACAATTCCTCCCACAGCAGAGAAGCTACGAAGATTCAGTGAAGAGGAGGGCCATGAGTTGAGGGAAAGATCTGCTAGTGGAGAGGGACATGATACTGCAGAGAGTGGCTTTGATGAGGGAAGTGATCTATCTCCTGACCACAAGCCAGAAGCTACTCTCAAGGGAGAACCCCTTGATGTTGACTCTAGATCTCAAGATATAATAGAAGGGGAAGGAGGGAAAGTGGAGGATTCTGTGAATGTAAAAACTGAAATTATGCCAAAGCTTGACTTTAAAAGTGAAGTATTGGATGAGCTTTGTAAATTTGCTGAAGAAGGTGATACAACAATTTACACAGGACCACAAGGAAAGACAGTTAAAACAGAGGATGAACAAGAACCCCCAAAGGATGAAGATCAAGTACCAGTAATTACAAAGGGAGAGTCGTATATTAAAACAACTACGTTGAGAAAACCTCCAACTTCATCCAAGAAAACGGAATTGCCAAAGAGTTTAGATCGATCAACAACGCCAAAGAAAGAGGAAGCTGAATCCCCTGTGAATTTTCCTAGTCTAGCAAGTGTCAAGGAGGATGCTAATAATATGCCAAAGAGAACATTAGGTTTTTTGAGAGAAAAAGATAGCAAAGTGGAAGACAAAGTGTTGACACCTGTAGATGCGGTAAAACTTCCAGTGAATGGGACCAAAGTGTCAGATTTGTTGAGCAAAAATAAAATACCTGAGGTTTCTCATTCAAAAACTAATTTAGAAAAAAATACAGAGATAGTTAGCTCTAATGAAAAAGTTGAAAAGAACGCTGGAAAAGATTTGGAAAAAACAAAGAGCTTGAGTGAGCCTACACACAGACACAAATCAACTTCTGGAACTTCTAGTAGTAAGAAATATGATTGTGCAAAGTGTCACAAGCGCAGCAAAATTAAACGTTACAATATTGGTGTACAGTGCCGACGAGATAAGACAGACTCCAAGTCTTCACCAAATTCGTTGTCTGGATCAGCGCCATGTGTGAACCAACCAGTTTTTGCAAAAGTGGACTTTGGAAGTAAGCACATATCTTTACCCAGACCTCCATGTAATGGTAAGCCTGGTTTGGACAAGTACAAATATGCCAATTATATGCATGTGGAAACATATCCTAATGGAGATGCAACAGTAGTGCATATGTACCAAGAGGAAATTGAGCCTCTTAGTAAGGAAGAGCAAGAAGAGTTAGCAGCTGAGTTTTTAGAGGTGAGAAATGTATTCATATTTTGTATTAAGATTACTAAGTCATGTTTAAGAAGATATCTACTTAAATATTTAGTTCACTGCTTCATAATTTTTGTTGTACCTTTGTGTAATTTTTTTTAAGTCTTTTATATCCTTTTGTATCTTGCACATTCTGTCAATTTCGTTACATTTTGTATTATAACTAGTTCATTGTTTATTACTGGTTTTATTCTTCCATATTCTGTATATTATCATTTAAAAAATTTGGAGACTTGCTTATGATCATTTCATGTTAATTTTTATGTCTCAGTCATTCTTGAAAACATTTATACCTTTGACATTTCATCTTGGAAAATGTACTGTACTAATTTGATTTAAGAACAAAAGAGGCACAATACCGTGTCTGGAACTACACAAATAACCCGTACATAGGAGAGACAAGCTTACGACAACTAGTTAATGGTCCAAGTCGGACCGAAACGTCATCATAAGTTTTTCTCCTATTTTTTTTTTTTTTTCAACAAACCGGCCGTATCCCACCAAGGCAGGGTGGCCCAAAAAGAAAAACAAAAGTTTCTCTTTTTACATTTAATAATATATACAGAAGGGGTTACTAGCCCCTTGCTCCTGGCATTTTTTCTCCTATTTGCAAGTTATTTGTGTATACCTTGACGCTGTTGGAGTGTGAGCAGGGTAATATTTAGTGAAGGGATTCAGGGAAACCGATTATTTTTATATAGTTGGACTTGAGTCCTGGAAATGGGAAGTACAATGCCTGCACTCTAAAGGAGGGGTTCGGGATATTGGCAGTTTGGAGGGATATGTTGTGTCTTTATATGTATATGCTTCTAAACTGTTGTATTCTGAGCACCTCTGCAAAAACAGTGATTATGTATGAGTGTGGTGAAAGTGTTGAATGATGATGAAAGTATTTTCTTTTTGGGGATTTTCTTTCTTTTTGGGTCACCCTGCCTTGGTGGGAGATGGCCGACTTGTTAAAAAAAAAAAAAAAACTTGATGCTGGTGAGGGGCTCTTGATTTAGGGGAATTGGATCTGTGCTCTGATTCCCTGAATTGAGCCTGAATACCTTTCCCCTCCCCCTTGCACGTGTGCTGTATACTCCTTGGGTTTAGTGCTCCCCCATGATTATAATAATAATGATATTTGTGTATAATTTCTTTTAGTTTTCAAGGTTATTTCCAAAAATATTTCTGACTTTAGTCTTGTATTTATATTTTGTATTCACAGTATGAGCACGTTAGGGTTATGGCAGTTTGTGTCTCATAATTTTTCCTCTCATGGATAGAATCAGTTTTAGAATGAGATACTGGCTTTATTTTGTATAAACGACTGCCTGGAGTGTTCTGGGGTCAGCGCCTAAGATAAGATAAGATAAGATTTCGTTTGGATTTTTAATCCCGGAGGGTTAGCCACCCAGGATAACCCAAGAAAGTCAGTGCGTCATCGAGGACTGTCTAACTTATTTCCATTGGGTTCCTCAATCTTGTCCCCCAGGATGCGACCCACACCAGTCGACTAACACCCAGGTACCTATTTGCTGCTAGGTGAACAGGACAACAGGTGTAAGGAAACGTGTCGAAATGTTTCCACCCGCCGAGAATCGAACCCGGGTCCTCCGTGTGTGAAGCGGGAGCTTTAGCCACCGGGCCACGTGACCCTGTCCCAGACCAGGCCTCTCAGTGGATGGCCTGATCAATCAGGCCGTTGGTGTTAGCTGGGTGGAGTCCAGCAAAAGCACTACAACCTGGCTGACCAGGAACTGACTTCAAAAATTTGTCCAATTCTTTCTTGAAGACAACCAGGGGTCTGTTGGTAATCCCCTGTATGTAAGAAGGGAGGATGTTGAAAAGTCTTGGCCTCTTTACACTGAGTAGTTATCCCTTAGTGTATAGCTTTAATTCCATGTGCAAGACTGTCAAACTTTCTTCACTGTAATACTGCTTCTAGGGGTATGTCTTGATGCTGGGGATACAAAGTATTGAAGGCATCCTCTGCTTCCTTGGATCAAATATAACTGCCTTTATTTCCTAGGTAGTGTGTGATCATTATGGATTTAATGCTTAACCATGAATGCAATAATAATCACCGGTGCACATTTCCCTTCATCTAAGTAGTACTCTCCTGTATGTTGTTGCATGGGTCAAGTCCTGGCTCTTGGTCCTACCTCTCAATTTACTGCCTGTCAGATTCATTCTCTCCTAGCATTGTGGGCCCTATTGTACCTATTCTTAAAACTATGTACTGTATTGAGTCTGCTTCTGCCTCTATTTTGTTGAGGTCATTCTGCTTCCTGATACCCAGAGGCTGAAGATACCCAGAGGCTGAAGAAATACTTCCTGACATCCCTATGACTTGTCTGTGTTTTTAACTTCCGGCTGTGTACCCAATACTCCAGAGTATTTAGTATGTTATCATGTCTCCCCGAGTCCTTAATAATAATAATCTGTTTCTGCAAGTACATGATACAACTTATGCACATTATTAAGGAAATTTCTTTAGTCTCTCTTTGTAGCTCATACCACTTAGCTCTGCTTTCTTACATTACTTAGCTCAGGTTTGTCTATTTTCATTATTTCCTCAGGTTGTCTATTTTCATTATATGTTTCCTCAGGTTTGTCTCTAGTTTCGTAAGCTGCTTCCTCAGGTGTGGGTTCCATACTGGTCCTTGTAATAAATTGCCTGCTTGGGTTTAGTGCTTCACATAAAATAAGTAATACAGTGGACCCCCGCATAACGATTACCTCCGAATGCGACCAATTATGTAAGTGTATTTATGTAAGTGCGTTTGTACGTGTATGTTTGGGGTCTGAAATGGACTAATCTACTTCACAATATTCCTTATGGGAATAAATTCGGTCAGTACTGGCACCTGAACATACTTATGGAGTGAAAAAATATCGTTAACCGGGGGTCCACTGTAGATATCAAGTGTAGTATTCCAACTAGTTTAATTCAAAATCTCACCATTTCTTGCTTTGCATCATTTATTTGGTAATGTGGATTTGTTTTTTAATTAGCTTGTGTTCAAGACAAGACTTGGATCAGATGCTTTTCTCCAAATATATTTATTGTATAGTGCAGTAGTCCCCCCTTATCCATGGGTGATGCGTTCTAAGACCTACTGCGGATGCCCGAAACCACAAATTGTAGCATACCTTATATATACATGTCGTTTTTCATTGACATGCGTACCTGTAATAAAGTTTAATTGATAAATTATGCACAGTAAGTCTAGAATTAGCAACTTTTCCATGATGGGAATCACTTCACGGCTTCTCTTAGGCTCTGAAGAACTGCCAGTATCACTAATTTTGGGCTTTGGGACCATTATTAAGCATAATTAAAGGTTATTATCTGGCCACGGTAAACCACAGATAACTGAAACTGCGGAAACTGAATCCATGGATATGGGGGTTCTGTTGCATTTACATTTTTATGCTCATACCTGTGTTTTTAGTTTATTAATCATTTCTTAAAATTTAATTCTGTCTTAGGTTGTGTTTTCTGAAGATGATAATGGGTTTGCCCATCATGTTTGTGGTATTGTCCACAATGCTGCCAGATACATGCCAGACTTTCTAGATTATATGAGTGAGAAACATCCGAACCTCTTTGTAAAGGCTGGAGTTATTGGCCACATTGGAAGAAACTCAGACCTGGAGACATATACAATGGAAAAATATAAGGATGAGGTATGTTATGTACATTATTTTCTCTTTAGGGATGTAGTCTGTAATATAGAAGTAAATTTTGTAAAGTTGCCATGATTTTTTTTATTTCGTGTTCTTAGTAAATACAAAATTAAAATTGTACCATTAATTATGGGATGTATTCAAGGTCTTTTAATTAATTTGTTTCAAACTTATACTGCAGGTGTACAGAACATATTGTAATGGCACCTTCCGCACCGGTCCTCTGCATCAAGTCAGTCTTGTTGGGACAGTACATGAAGAAGTGGGTGGCTATTTTCCCCATTTCCTCAACATGATGGAAGAAAATCCATTCCTTCGGAGGGTAAGTTTCTCGCTGTCATTTTCATCTTTGATAATCTACCAGGTATATCAAGAGTAAGTCATAATATTTGTTTTCACTTTCGTGGGGAAGTGGAAAAGAATCCTTCCTCTGTAAGAGGTGACTAAAATGCCGGGAGCAAGGGGCTAGTAACCCCTTCTCCTGTATAAGTTACTAAATGCTGGGAGCAAGGGGCTAGTAACCCCTTCTCCTGTATAAGTTACTAAATGCTGGGAGCAAGGGGGTAGTAACCCCTTCTCCTGTATAAATTACTAAATGCTGGGAGCAAGGGGCTAGTAACCCCTTCTCCTGTATAAATTACTAAATGCTGGGAGCAAGGGGCTAGTAACCCCTTCTCCTGTATAAGTTACTAAATGGTGGGAGCAAGGGGCTAGTAACCCCTTCTCCTGTATAAATTACTAAATGCCAGGAGCAAGGGGGTAGTAACCCCTTCTCCTGTATAAATTACTAAATGCCAGGAGCAAGGGGGTAGTAACCCCTTCTCCTGTATAAATTACTAAATGCTGGGAGCAAGGGGCTAGTAACCCCTTCTCCTGTATAAATTACTAAATGCCAGGAGCAAGGGGGTAGTAACCCCTTCTCCTGTATAAATTACTAAATGCCAGGAGCAAGGGGGTAGTAACCCCTTCTCTTGTATAAATTACTAAATGCCAGGAGCAAGGGGGTAGTAACCCCTTCTCCTGTATAAATTACTAAATGTAAAAAAAAAACTTCTTTCATTTTTCTTTTTAGGTCACCCTGCCAAGGTGGGAGACAGCTGTTACATAAAAAAAAATAAACTGTGGAACACCCCTCAAGGGAAGTGTGTTAATGTCAGTGAGGGGCCCTTTTGATGCAAGGAATTGGACTAATTTTTACCATCCTTGGATCCATCCCATTTGCCTCCCATTTCCCAAGCATTGCATGATCTTAATGGTTTTAGAACTTCCCCATAATAATAATAACACTGGAACAAATCACAACACTCAGTTTGGATGTGTAAACTATAAAAATTTTATGGAATTTTTATCTTGAAATTGTGGGTTGTGAATTTTACCTGTATGGCGGTACCTCGAGTTTCGAACAGCTCCTGACTCGAACAGTTATGTAAGTGTATTTTTTGTAAGTGCTTTTGTAAGTGTATTTTTGGGGGTCTGAAACAGACTAATCTAACTTACATTAATAACAAAAAGGCACAATACCGTGACTGGAATGGTCCAAGTCGGACCGAAACGTCGTCGTAAGCTTCTCTCTTTTATGTGCGGGTTATTTGTGTAACTTACATTATTCCTTATGGGAATAAATCCGTTCGGTATCGGCACTCGAACGGCCTTCTGGAACGAATTAAGTTCGTAGCTCAAGGTACCACTATACTTTCATTTCACTACTTATACATAACAATCTCTTGTACATTTCTGTACAAGAGATTTTATTATGGTAGGCACTTGATGCATAGCAAACCTTTATTATAGATGACATTTTTTTTTTTTTTGGTAGAGCTTTATCAAGTCATGACTAACACATTCACACATGTTGGATGCCCAAGCCCCTCACATACAAAGCCTCCCTTACCCCGTCTCTCCAGGGGTTAAATTGTATTGCAAATGTTTTAAAGCAGCATGACTTTTTTACTTGCAGGCGATGCCTTGGGGTCCTATGTCTATAATAAATATGAGTTCGCCACAGCAGAGTAACGATGGACCTATCTTGTGGATTCGACCTGGAGAACAGCTCATACCAACAGCTGAACTGGGTAAATCTCCAGCTAAAAGAAAAAGGTAAAAACACCATGCTAGTCTGTATATGGCAACTTGTTTTTTTGATTCTCGACTAACTGGGCCATGGGGGGCATTGTCCTGCAGAACACCCTCCAAGTAGCACCCTTCAATGGGAATGCCTTGATGCTGGTCAGAGCTTTTGATAGAAGGAATTAAAACTGCCTTCTTCCTTGGATTCGAACCTTTCTTCCCCCAAATGCTGTATTAGCCTCTTTGTTTTCATTATTTTCTTATAAATACAAATCGAATTAAATTAACTACCTAATAGTCCAAGTCAGACCAAACGTCATTACAAGTTTATTTCTCTTAGGTGCAGGTTATTTGTGTATCTTTTTTTATTTTTAAATCAAATTAGTGATTTCCAAGGAAGAAACTGAATTTCTGTTAAGTGAAAGTGGTAAGATAGCAGATAAAGAGGCAGGGACGTAGTGAAAGGGATGAGAATGTTTGGAGATTGTTGTTTGTAGGAGATTCAGTGGAAGCAGAAATGTAATGTTTAGGATGAAGAAGAATACAGTCTCTTGGAATGAGTGAACATCTATATATGTACTGTGAAGGAGGGATGGAGATATGTTGCAGATTTTGAACTGTAGTATTGACACGCCTCTGGCAAAACAGTGGTGGAGTGAGTGATGTTAAAAGTGTTTCTTCTTTTTGAGTTGCCCTGCTCCAGTGGGAAATGGCCACTGTGTTAAAAAAAAAAAAAAACAATATGAAGGTTGAAAGTAAAATCTGTAGAGTGGTGGTATATCATTAGGTCATCAAAATAAGTCACCATCATCTTATACGTATTAATATTGAACCTTTGTCAGCATTCGCTGTTTATTGAAGAGTGAGGAATGTATGCAAATATCGGCAACTAAAATGTTAGGAAAGAGATTTAAAGGAAAATATAATATGACTTCTGCATATTGGGTAAGTATATGGCAAAATTATGATTGATAAATGATTGGGTAGACAAATTGTTGATAAATTGCAAATGAATTGTGCATTTGATGAAGGATAGGGATGTGTAGCCCTGGTGTTTGCATCAAGTACGCAGGTGGGCAGTTTTTACCCAAGAAAAGAGAGCTATTTCTTTTAATTTGAAAAAGGCATATGACTGTAATAGGAAGCAATAAGATAAGTACTGAATTGCAGTGGTGTGAATTCGGTGGAAGTTTGTTAAAAATTATTTTGGGAGTGACATAGAGAAGAGGAATTTTGTTTTTAGTCAGAAAATATTTAATAAATGTTTAGGATACTACTGTGTTTTAATGTTTATAGATGGTGTTAGGGGGAGTTGTAGCTTAGAAGGATAATGAATCTAATAGGAAATGAAAGTTGACTCACTTACTGTTAGTAGACGGCAGTGCTATTGAGAGAGTCACATGAAAGGTTGCAAGGGTTGATGGCAGAGCCGGAGAGTGTTTGGAAAAGTAGGAAGACAAGTGAATGCAGAAAAGAGGAAGGCGATAAAAATTAGTGAAAGTATAGGAGATAAATGATTAGGGAGTCAGATTTGAAGGCAAGAGTCTGGAGAAAGTGAATGTGTTTAGATACTTAGGAATTGATTTTCTGTGTCAACTTGGATATGGAAAGAATGAAGCAAATCACAAAATATTTGAGGGAAAGAAATTTGGTGTATTGACAAATCCACAAAAAAAGAAAGAAATTAGTAATTGAATTCAAAAAGGGAAAACGAATCGAGCTATAATGATGCCAACACTTGTATGGGTGTGAAGCATGTTCTTCGAAAGTTACAGCAAGGATGAGGTAGTCAGCAGTGAAAATGTCTAGAATCATGTGCAACTGGTATCTATTTACCCTTAATGGTATTCTCGAACATAAGATTTGTGTATTTGTTTATAGTGTGACTTTGTAAAAGGTCCAAGTCGGACCGAAACGTCGTCGTAAGCTTCTCTCTTTTATGTGCGGGTTATTTGTGTATCGTTCCAGTCACGTTATTGTGCCTTTTTTTGTTATTTATACAGTATTTAATTTTTCTTCACACAGAACAGGAATTAATGAATTGCAACGGCTTCAGTATCTACCACGAGCCACTAATGCCAGGGAAATGATGTTTGAAGACCGAACTAAAGCTCATGCTGACCATATAGGAGCTGGACTTGACAGGAAAACTACTGCAGCTGTTGGTGAGTTTTAGATATTAGTTCCCTCTTGCAAATAAAAATGATAGTCATTTATAGTTATTTGAAAGCAAAAATTTAAATCTTAGTAGAGGAAGTCACTTTCAGCTCACACCTTGATTTCTGTCTTATAATTTTGAAAATTTCTTCTCATTCCAGGAGTGTTGAAAGCTGTCCATTGTAGCCACGATTACTATCACAACCGTGTTGTGAAAGATGTTGTAGCTTTTGATGCACATGACTTCCACGAGATTGTAGAAAAACTTCAGCTAGACCTTCACGAACCCCCTATATCCCAGGTATGTTCTGTTTGTGTACTTATGTTAACGGGTTGTCTTTACAAGAAATGTTATATTACCAGCCAAGAGACGGAGGGGTTATGCCCTCAATATAATACTTAGATTTTTTTCATATACCCAAGTTTATAAGTTTAGGGGTCGTCTATCCTCAGAGATAGGAGTGAATCAGGTTTTTATTTTTTTTGGCATTAGTTAAAATGTCCAGGGTTTTAATATCCTCTGAGGAAAATAGTGATATTTATACAATATATAAGTTTTTATCACCCTGGTACAGTAGTTTATACAATATACAAGATGTTTATCACCCTGGTAGTGTATACTGTATATAAGTTTATCACAATAGTAGTTTATACTGTGTATAAGTTTTTTATCTCCCTGGTAGTTTATACTGTGTATAAGTTTTTTATCTCCCTGGGAGTCAGTCTTCACAGATGGGAGTAAGTCAATTGCTTCCTGCATCAGCAATCAAAACATACGTGTGTTTTGTATCTTCCACCCCTCCCTCTGCATCATCAAAGGTTTAAGGTGAAAAAATGGATATTATGTTTATGTACAAATTCTTTATCATCCTGGGAGTCAATAATGATCAAACTACTTTGTAAATACCAGAACTAATACTACTACTACCACCCTGAGAGTCGGGTTCTGGTTGTCTGTGGGAGAGAGGAACGACAACGGCCATGTATTTTTGTACTGGTAATATACAGTTCTTGAAGGTTAAATATAACTTAAGGGATGGTTAAGGTTATTCCTTTAGTGACTATAAGAGAGAATTGTTGTAACATTGTGCTATCAGTGGTTACTGCAATGTAATCATGATATAGTACGGTGGACCCTCGACCAACGATGGCATCATCTAACATTAAATCCGACTAGTGATACATTTTAACGCTAACATTTTGCCTCGACTAACGCTAAAAAAACTCGACGATATTCGTTCTCGGGTACCAATTAATATCGTTAGTTGAGGGTCCACTGTACTTGCTTTGTTAAGGTTAGCACAGTAGGGTATCTCATATACAGCACCTGTTTTTGGAGTTCCACGTTTTCATTGGCTTTCATTTGTGCTATTGTTCCACCTCCGGGAGGGACATAGTGAACAATGACTCGGTTTGAAGCCAACGAAAATGTGGAACACTGAAAAGGTGCTGTATATGTGGTGCCGTCCTGTACCTGTCTTATTATATTGATGGGGAAGCTCTAAACCTTTAGGGGTCATACAACACTAGGGCAATGTGAACCGGTCAGATTTGACTCTAGGAAAGAGATGGCAACTCCCATTCCTTAGATCAACATCCTTTCATTAACCCGTAAACGTTCCAAACGTATATATACGTTTTTTCAACATTTGAAAGTGTGTAAAAAAAGTAGATCTTCTTTTTGTTTTTTTACATTTGAAAATGTCTAAAAAAAACTTTAATCTACTTTTGTTTTTTAGTTATACTTGAAAATATGTAAGAAAAAAGTAGATCTACTTTTGTAGCTCTACGCATGTGAACATAGATCTGCTTGGACCGTTTACAAGTTAATATCAAAACACTCCCATTGAAGAGTTTGCAGAGCATAGTAAAAAAAATATCACATTGCACAGTTGTGGTGTTTCACAGTTGACGTTCTTTATTGCAGTGTGTACAATGGATAGAAGATGCAAAACTGAATCAGATGCGGCGAGACGGTGTGCGATTTGCCCGCATCCAGCTGTGCGATAATGATATTTACTTCTTGCCTCGGAACATCATTCATCAGTTTCGCACCGTGACTTCAGTTTGTAGTGTTGGTGAGTTAGTTACAATATGCTATTTCACTTTATCATTTCTATTTCTTAAATGTTAAGAAAACTTTACGGTTTTCTTCTTTTTTGGGTCACCCGTCCTTGGTGGGAGATGGCCAATACGTTGAAAAAAAGATACCTTATTTTGCGGCTTGTTAGACATGTTTTTTTTTTTTTCCATAAAAATGTCTCCAAAAACCACCCTGCGTCCTATAAACTGAAGGTCAGTGGCGGGAGCTATAAGTTTGGGGTGTGGGGTGGGCTGTAGCTCTCCCAGTTATGTCTGATGCCGAGCCATTGAGACTAAAACAAGTCAGATAAGTCAAAAAATACGGTAATAATGTGGGACTTTGTTTAGCATACAACAGACCAGTTCTAGGTACTTTCGTACATTAAACCAATTAACATTAGTAGGGATATTTTTCTAGGCTTCCCAGGATGTGTTTTTGGTGTGGATATGTCATGAATGCTGTTCTCAAGGAACCAACTTAGCCAGGTCCTCACTGAATGCACACAATCACTGGCTTCTACTACATCCTTCATGGGATTGCCTCTCTTATGCAATTCAGTGACCTCTCCAATTGCTTCTGGCCAGCAACTTACTCCTGCACATATTAACTTGTCAGTAGCCAAAAATGTGCAACAAACTTTGCCTTCAAGACCATGTGGTGCAGGGGAACCACAGAGACAAAACTGTCCACCACACTGACTGAAAAGGCCCTTAGGATGCAGCCAGTAATTATAGGGAATCCTGAGATGACCTACAGTAGCCGATGATCCAGGGTAGGGTATTACTTTGGACATGAAATTACATCTTGTGCTTTCTACCCGTCACACCTTAATGGCAGGCACTGTACATAAGAAAAGGCTCTTACTTTGAATGATTTCTTCCCCAGACCATGAAGCTCAATCAGTCTAAAAGGGTCGGTGACAATTTGCAGAAACATTCCTGTCCCAAATATAAAAGGTACAAGCTTTCTTCTTTCTTTCTTTCAACACACCGGCCGTATCCCACCGAGGCGGGGTGGCCCAAAAGGAAAAACGAAAGTTTCTCCCTTTACATTTAGTAATATATACAGGAAAGGTTACTAGCCCCTTGCTCCTGGCATTTTAGTCGCCTCTTGCAACACACATGGCTTACGGAGGAAGAATTCTGTTCCACTTCCCCATGGAGATAAGAGGAAATGAACAAGAACTAGTAAAAAAATGTAAGAAAACCCTGAGGGGTGGGTATATACATATATGCTTGTACATGTATGTGTAGTGTGACCTATGTGTAAGAAGTAGTAGTAAGACATACCTGAAACCTTGCATGTTTATGAGACAGAAAAATGGACACCAGCAATCCTACCATCATGTAAAACAATTACAGGTTTCCGTTTTACACTCACTTGGCAGGACGGTAGTACCTCCCTGGGCAGTTACTGTTTACCAACCTACTACCTAGGAAAAGGTACAAGCATATCAGCAAAATTCTTGGGTTCATTAAAAATTGGAAATAATTTAAATGCAATTCTCGCCATAATAGGGAGTCATTGCAGCTCAAACAAGTAGGGACTAGTGAGAACTAATTAGGAGTGAAAATACCAGTCTCATTGCTAAATATTTTTATTTTAAATAAAAGAACAATTATTGCAGTTTGGAGGGATATGTTGTGTATCTTTATATGTATATGCTTCTAGACTGTTGTATTCTGAGCACCTCTGCAAAAACAGTGATAATGTGTGAGTGTGGTGAAAGTGTTGAATGATGATGAAAGTATTTTCTTTTTGGGGATTTTCTTTCTTTTTTGGGTCACCCTGCCTCGGTGGGAGACGGCCGACTTGTTAAAAAAAAAAAAAAAAAAAAAAAAAAAATATTGCAGGCTTGTGGTAGAACCTAACTTCTCAAATGCAATATTGTATAAAGACAATGATTCTTAACCTTGCTGGCCACTACAGACCACTAAGTACTTATTGTGAATCAGTTTATCCTATATTAGGAGGATTTCCTTTTCTGCACATTTGATAATGTTAGGTAGTAAAATGGTAGACATCATCCATCCAGGGAAGGACTACCATCCACTCATGAATACAAGATGGAAGCCAGTTTAATATTTTGATCTCTAGATGAATTATTGATATTTTTTCTTCAGTCTGGTGAACACAGAAGATGACCGGTAACTCTTACAATAATCTGCTTACATTCAGTATACATTTACTTTTCTGTGTTTCCTAATACAGTGGACCCCCGGTTAACGATATTTTTTCACTCCAGAAGTATGTTCAGGTGCCAGTACTGACCGAATTTGTTCCCATAAGGAATATTGTGAAGTAGATTAGTCCATTTCAGACCCCCAAACATACACGTACAAACGCACTTACATAAATACACTTACATAATTGGTCGCATTCGGAGGTGATCGTTATGCGGGGGTCCACTGTAGCTCATTTTTTTTTTATTAACACACTGGCCGATTCCCACCAAGGCAGGGTGGCCCGAAAAAGAAAAACTTTCACCATCATTCACTCCATCACTGTCTTGCCAGAAGGGTGCTTTACACTACAGTTTTTAAACTGCAACATTAACATCCTCCTTCATATTTCCATAATATTTCCTTTGCACCCAAGTAGTAGGTTGGTAGACAGCAACCACCCAGGGAGGTACTACCGTCCTGCCAAGCGAGTGTAAAACGGAAGCCTGTAATTGTTTTACATGATGGTAGGATTGCTGGTGTCTTTTCTGTCTCAAACATGCAAAGTCCTAGGTAGTAGGTTGGTAAACAGCAACCGCCCAGGGAGGTACTACCGTCCTGGCAAGCGAGTGTAAAACGGAAGCCTGTAATTGTTTTACATGATGGTAGGATTGCTGGTGTCTTTTCTGTCTCAAACATGCAAAGTCCTAGGTAGTAGGTTGGTAAACAGCAACCGCCCAGGGAGGTACTACCGTCCTGCCAAGCGAGTGTAAAACGGAAGCCTGTAATTGTTTTACATGATGGTAGGATTGCTGGTGTCTTTTCTGTCTCAAACATGCAAAGTCCTAGGTAGTAGGTTGGTAAACTGCACCAGCCAGGAGGTACTACCGTCCTGCCAGCATGTAAACGGAAGCCTGTAATGTTTACATGTGGAGATTGCTGGTGTCTTTCTTCTCAAACATCAAATCTAGCTTAGTAGGTTGGTAAACGCAACCGCCCAGGGAGGTACTACCGTCCTTGCCTAGCGAGTGTAAAACGGAAGCCTGTAATTGTTTTACATAATGTACGGATGCTGTGCTTTCTGTCTCAAAACATCAAAGTCCAGGTAGTAGGTTGTAAACAGCACCCCAGGGAGTACTACCGTCCTGCCAAGCGAGTGTAAACGAAGCCGTAATTGTTTTACATATGGTAGATACTGGTGTCTTTTCTTCTCAAACACAAAGTCCTAGGTAGTAGGTTGGTAACAGCAACCGCCCGTGAAGATGTACTACCGTCTGGCAAGAGAGTAATAACGGAAGCCTGTAATGTTTTACATGATGGTAGGATTGCTGGTGTCTTTTCTGTCTCAAACATGCAAAGTCCTAAGGATAAGGATTTGGTAAACAGCAAACCGCCCAGGGAGTACTACGTCCTGCAAGCGCGTGTAAACGGAAGCTGTAACTTGTTTTACAGATGGTAGGATTGTGGTGTCTTTTTGTCCAAACATGCAAATCTAGGTTTTAGTGGACATCAACGCCCAGGGAGTACTACGCCTGCCAGCAGTTAAAAGTAAGCCGTATTGTTTACATAGTAGATTGTGGTGTCTTTTCTGTCTCAAAACATGGAAGTCCAAGGTTAGAGGTTGGAAACAGCAACCGCCAGGGGAGGTAACTTACCTTTTAAAGCGAGTGTAAAACGGAACCTTGTGAATTGTATTTAATGATGGTAGGATTGCTGGTGTCTTTTTCTGTCTCAAACATGCAAAGTCCTAGTATGGTGGAAACAGCAACGCCCAGGATGGTACACCGTCTGCCATAGCGAGTGTAAAACGGAAGCCAGTAATTGTTTTATCATGATTGTAGGAATGCTGTGTCTTTTCTGTTCAACATTGCAAATGTCCTAGTATAGTTGGTGACAGCAAACCGCCAGGGAGGTACTACCGTCCTGCCAGGAGTGTAAACGAGCCTGTATATAGTTTTACATGATGGAGGTATTGTGGTGTCTTTTTTGTCTCAAACATGCAGGTCCTAGTTGTAGGTTGGTAAACAGCTAACCGCCCAGGGAGTACTACCGTCCTGCAAGCGAGTGTAAAACGGAAGCTGTAACTGTTTTCATATGGTAGTATGCTGGTGTCTTTTCTGTCTCAAACATCAAAGTCTAGTGTAGTTGGTAGACAGCAACCCCCAGGGAGTATGACGTCCTGCCAAGCAGTGAAACGGAAGCCGTAATGTTTACATGATGGTAGTTGCAGTGTCTTTTCTGCTCAAACATGCAAATCCTAGGTATAAGTTGGAAACAGCAACCGCCCAGGAGGTTTACTACGTCCTGGCAGAGACGTGTAAAACGCGGCTGTAATGTTTCATGATGAGGATTGCTAGGTTTTCGATCTCAACATGCAAAGTCCTAGGTATAGGTTGGAAAACACAACCCCAGTGAGTACTACGTCTGCCAAGCTGAGTGTAAACGGAAGCCTGTAAATTGTTTACATGATGGTAAGGATTGTGAGTCTTTTCTGTACTCAACATGCATGTTCCAGGTATAGGGTGGTAAACAGCACCGCCCAGGGAGGTACTACCGTCTGCAAGGAGTGTAAAACGGAAGCCTGTAATTGTTTTACAGATGTAGGTGCTGGTGTCTTTTCTGTCTCAACAGCAAAGTCCAGGTATAGGTTTGGGAAACAGCAACGCCAGGAAAGGTACTACCGGCCAAGCGAGTGTAAAACGGAAGCCGTAATTGTTTTTAAAGAGGTAGGGTTTGGGTCTTTTCTGTCTCAAAATGCAAAGTCCAGGGAGAGTTGGAACAGCAACCGCCAGGAGGTACCCGTCCGCCAAGCGAGTGTAAAACGGAAGCCGTAAAATTTTTTTACAGATGGTAGGATTGCTGGTGTCTTTTTTGTCTCAAACATGAAAGTCCTAGGGGATAGGGTTTGGGAAACAGCAACCGCCCAGGGAGGTACTACCGCCTGCCCAAACGGTGTAAAACGGAAGCCTGTAATTGTTTTTTACATGATGGTGGATTGCGGGGGTCTTTTTTGTCTCAAACATGCAAAGTCCTAGGTATAGGTTTGGGAAACAGCAACCCCCCAGGGAGGGACTACCCTCCTGCCCCAAACGAGGAAAACGGAAACCCGTAATGTTTTACATGATGGTAGATTGCTGGTGTCTTTTCGTTCAAAAATGCAAAGTCCTAGGTATTGGTGGAAAAAAGCAAACCCCCAGGGGGTTTCTACCCGGCAAGCGAGTGTAAAACGGAAACCTTAATGTTTTACTGAGGGAGTTGGGTTCTTTTTCTGTTCTAACATGCAAAGTCCCGGAGTAGGTTGGTAAAAAGCAACCCCCCGGGAGGTACTACCCCTCGGCAAGGGGTGTAAAACGGAAGCCCGTAATTGTTTTACATGATGGAGGGTTGCGGGTTTTTTTCTGTCTCAAAAAATGCAAAGTCCTAGGTAGTTGGTGGTTAAAACAGCAAACCCCCCAGGGAGGTCTACCGTCCTGCCAACGAGTTAAAACGGAAGCCTGTAATTGTTTTACATGTGGTAGGATTTCTGGGGTCTTTTGTCTCAAACATGCAAGCCTAGGGAGTAGGTTTTGGGAAACAGCAACCGCCCAGGAGTACTACCCTCCTGGCAAACAGTGTTTTAAAAAGGAAGCCTGAATTGTTTAAATATGGGGTTTTGTGTCTTTCTGTCTCAAACATCAAAGTCCAGGTAGGTTGGTAAACAGCAACCCCCCGGGGGTACTACCGTCCTGGCAAACGAGTGTAAAACGGAGCCTGTAAAGTTTTTAATGATGGTAGGTTGCTGGTGTCTTTCGTCCCCATAAAAACAAGGTTTTTAGGTACGTCTTGCTACTTTTGCTCACTTAGGTCACACTAACCCCATGTGTAGAAGATATATAAATATAAAAAATTCCCCCCTCTGTTTTTTTCTTTTTCTTGCTAGTTCAGTTCTATTTATTTCTCTTTTCCGGGGGAAGTAATTGGAACGAATTCTTCCTCCATAAGCCAAGCATGTTGTAAGAACAACAAAAATGCCGGGGGGCCAAGGGGGCCGTAAACCCCTTTCCTGTATACATTTCAAAGTTAAAAAGAGAAACTTTTGTTTTTCTTTTCGGGCCACCCGCTTTAGTGGGGTACAGTCGGTTTTGTTGAAAGTGCGATTTCCTTTCAGTATAGGAGCCTGGGTAATGCCATGATACAGAGTAGTGATCCCTTAAATTTAAAATTAACAGTAGCTAATGACATCAGGATTTAACATTACAAAGGACCCCCCTTTGGGGTTCCCGGAAGGCTTTAGACTACAAGCTGTAAACCCTTGGTGTAAGATGAATTGTAATGAATTGGTTGTGACAAAATTATGAAAAATAGTTTTTTTAGTGGATCAAGCTATGGGATATTAGCGTCCCGCATTAAAAAAGTAATTGGAGGCATGAAATTTTGGGTGTTGGAAATGAAAATTGGGAGTGGCGAGAAAAGGGGAGGAGAGTCAAAATAAATTTAAAATTTATGGGAACATAAATTAGAAAAATTTATTTAAAGTCTTAATTATAAAAATACATTTAAAAAACATTCACTTGGAGAAATCATTTTCCCTGAAAAGACTAGTTCTTTTCAGGTGATTTTTTTCTTTTTTTGTTTGTGTTTTTTTCATTTGGAAGGGACAGCAAATTTCATGCAGAAACAACTCATTATAAACCCCTTTTTTTTAATTTAAAAATTAGACGAAGTGTGTAAAGGTAGAAAGTTTAAAATGAAAAAAGAAAAGAGTAGGGAAAGAGGGTTCAAATGATTTAGATAAAAAAAAATTGGATTCAAATTGGGGGGGTATGGAAGAAGTGAAATGTTTCAGTATTTGGGAGTTTACGTGTCAGCGGGTGGTTTAGAAGGATAGGGTTTAAACATAGGGAATTGATAGGGAAAAAAAAGTGGGGTGCTTGGGTTTGGGAGTCAAAAAAGTTATCTATGGGGCAAAGAAAGGGGAAGTATGAAAGTAAGTAGTACCAACACCTTATTGGGGTGAAACTTGGGGGGTAAAAGCAGCGCAGGGGGACGGTTGGAGCAGTGGAATGTCCTGTTTAAGGGCAATGTGTGGTGTAAAATTTTGCAGAAAATTTGGGGTGTGGAAAATTTGGAAAAGGTTGGAGTTAAAAAAATATAAATCTATAGGGGAAGGAAGGCGGGGTAGGGGTCGTCCTCGAAAGGGTTGGAGAGAGGGGGTAAAGGAGGTTTTGTGGGCGAGGGGCTTGGACTTCCAGCAAGCGTGCGTGAGCGTGTTAGATAGGAGTGAATGGAGACGAATGGTACTTGGGACCTGACGATCTGTTGGAGTGTGAGCAGAGTAATATTTAGTGAAGGGATTCAGGGAAACCGGTTATTTTCATATAGTCGGACTTGAGTCCTGGAAATGGGAAGTACAATGCCTGCACTTTAAAGGAGGGGTTTGGGATATTGGCAGTTTGGAGGGATATGTTGTGTATCTTTATACGTATATGCTTCTAAACTGTTGTATTCTGAGCACCTCTTTGCAAAAACAGTGATAGTGTGTGAGTGTGGTGAAAGTGTTGAATGATGATGAAAGTATTTTCTTTTTGGGGATTTTCTTTCTTTTTTGGGTCACCCTGCCTCGGTGGGAGACGGCCGACTTGTTGAAGAAAAAAAAATACAAAGTAATACATGTAACTAATAAATAAGAACTCTTTGGTAAAAAGTTACAATTTTTTTCAATGGATAAGTAGTCACTACTGAGGTAAAGAGGTAATACTCGCCCATCAAGCCATTACACTCGCTTTCAGGCCTGTAGCTTAACCAAAATTTATTGAATTAATTTTTTTTTTATCTTTCAGCATGGCATGTTCAGCTGAAGCAGTATTACCTTCCTAAAACTTCAGAGAAGGATAAAGAAAAGCTCTCTAATGAGAATTCCCCAGTCCTCTCTCCAGTAAAAATAGACCTCACAGAGAAAAAGGAGAAGTCGTCATCTGTTTCTTCAACGCCATCTAAACATCACAGAAGCCACAAGCATGACAGAAAGGACAAACATGAAAAGGAAAGGCACGAGAAGCATAAACACAAACATAGGGCCAAAGATAAAGACAAAGACAAGCACAAAGACAAGGACCATCATCGAGGTGAACGGAGGAGTGAACACAAAAGCAAAAAGAGAGAGAAACCAGAGAAGGATGAAACGGAGAAAGTAAAGAAAAGGCTAAGGTTGGACTCCAGTTCATCATTGGACGAGTCAGTTGTGGAAGGTAAGAACGAGAAAGCTAGTTCAGGTGATATAGGGGAGCCAGAGGCTAAGAAGCCTAAAGTAGAAGAGAATGGACCAATTGATGAGAGTAAAATGGAACCTAAAGATGAGTCAAAGATTGAACCTAATGCCGAGTCAAAATTGCTGCCAGAGGTAGCTGCTTCCCCACAAGAAAATCAGGTAGATATTGAAGATAAAAATGTAAATAATATACAAGAATGTTCTGAGAATAACAAAATAAGCCTAGAGGTTGGTCAGTCAAAAAAAGAGAATGGAAGCCTTGAAAAACCAATTAGTGGTCCCAAAGTGAAAACCACTGGAGCAATAAGCAGACCGAAAACTCCCAACAAAGTTGCCGGTGGCCAGCCAGCATGTGATGTTCTTGAAACCATAATGGCTGGAATGTCACAGTCAGGATGCACAAATAATGTCTGAGAAAATGTGTTTTTCGATACAGAATTCCTTAAATTTGTAGAAAACACTTGTGAGCTCGAATTTTTTTGGATGAAACTGAAGGAATATTATAAAGACCGAGTTCCATTAATAAATGATATGCATTTAATGCCTTAGATACATCAACAACTATTTTGTGTGACCTCTTCATGCTCTTCGTATAATAATTATTAGAAGAAACACTTCATTCTTACAAAGGATCTAATTCTAAACATACCCAGGTGATTTTTAGTTGAAATTCTTGTGTCCTCTATAGATAGAGATGTATATTGCTGTAGATATGCTAACTTATTTATTCATAGATTTGACTAAAGTAGGGTAGAGTTCGGTAATAATTAAATACCAGAAAGCCTTGTAAGTGAATATTTTGTGCCAGTTCTCTTCTTCAGTGGTAGCTTGCTTGTGAGATTTAAAAGGCATTGAGTAGTTAGCGTAAAGAAAGTGACAAAATGCCTCGGAGAACTGAAGTTTTAACTGTTACTACATAATTGGGTATTTCATTTATATGCAAAGACATAAAAGATATCTTGCCTGATTATTGTGCTTTTAGAGAATGTGTTACCAGCTGACATGGAGTAATAATAAATAATAATAATCTGGGGATGCATTGGAATAATTTTGGGATGTATGCTGTATGATAGTGTTACTGTAAGGACGGCCTCTGCTTGAAAAGGATGTGCAATATATATAGTGTTCCTCAACATAATTTTTAAATAATTTTTTTTCTTTTATAAGTGAAGATATTGTATTTGCCACTCAGTTAAGGTATATAATGGTATATACTTATTAGTCATAATTGCTGCAGCAAATACGATACTCTCCATACGATTTATTTTTCCCGTTCTTAGCCTTTTAAAATTTACTTAGAAAATGTTATAATTTCATTGGTTATGATTCAAAATCAAAATCTTAAATACTTATATATAGTATAGTTAAATATGTCTATTCAGTATCACACACAGATAGAAAGTTGCTATTTTTTAGTTTAGGGCAAATATCGGTTATAGTTTTTTTTAGCATTTTGATTGTTTTTTATATTAGTTAAAATGAGATTTAAAATTTGGCTTGAAGATGGAGTTAAAGATCTTCAGATTTTATAAAAAGAGATTCATTATCAAGTTTTAATGATAATAAGCAAAGAGATTTGACCTATTTATCCAACACTGGTGAAGCTCTGTTGTGAATCCCTGGTGGTTATTTCTCCTTAGTATTTCAGTGGCTTCTAAAAAATTACTGCATGATATATATGTAAATAGCATAGCATTGGTTGTTATTGCTAAGTTGGATTCAGCTTAGAACATCTGAAAACTTCATAAGCACAGATTATCATTTTCATGTCGGTGTATTGGTAGCTAATGTTACACGAACTATTAAAATTTATTATCCCGCTGTTACAGCCCAGTAATTTATTGAGTATTGCTTGTTGAGGAAAAGCCAGGTGAAATGCATCAAATCATTTACTAGCTTGTCAGTAGTAGCGTTGACTGAGCACCACACAAATTTTGCGTTACACAGTTTATGTTCGACATTTGATTCATCACCCTTATGGTTGCATTTGAGTAACCATATAGTACTTAAGCTATTAATATAGTTATAATTTCTTAACTGGTTATGAGTTGTATACCGTTTTCACTCAAGGACATGAACGTAAAGGCTGTGAGTGCCTCGGCGAGAATGAATGCTAAGATTAACACTGCAATTCACTGTTAGCATATCTGGCACCATTATTGCTTTCACCCCCCTCCCCCCTCAGTGAAGATAGCATATGTTAGTTTAAGCTGCTGTATCAGTTTCCAGTGGTGTATGCGCGCTAGGTTAGTTTTAAAGTTTTCCTGACAGTACAAAATTACTTGGGGAACACTGAGCAATGTTGCTGACAAGGTTCCTGTGGCAAATATGGTATTTCACCAATTTATGCCAATTTCTATGTCGCTTGTCAGCCCATTTGTAGAGTATAATATTTGGGAAAATGATTGATGTGTTATCATACTTGAGAATATTGGAAACTGTGAAGATGTTTAATGCAAACCCTGATAAGCATAGTGTTATTTTTACATCACAGAAATTATATATAGATACTTTTTTTGTTTGCTTTTTATATTGTGAAGTACTGTAATGTTGAATGGTCTGAGGAAGGAAACAGTTGTAATACTATTTTTAAAGATAAATACTGGGAAGATGGTTATTGATGAGGTATTGTGAATGCTGGGGAGTTTGGTGGAAAAGATTAGTCTTATTGGAACAAGAAAAACTATTGCTCTTCACTTACGTTGATATCAGCACGAGTTGTTTTAATCATTTGTTGATTCTTGTAAATGTTTCACTATTTTTGATTGATCAAGTGTCAAGCACTGGACATACTTTAAAGTTTAGGACATAATCTGTATTTTCAGTTTTATGGCTCGTAAAACATTATCCATTTACAGCTGGATGTTTTCCGGATGAAGGTGTATGCCAACGACATTGGAGATAAATTTTTATTAAAAATTTTCTTTTGATGATGAAGCTTAATTATCTAGTGAAAATGACTGAAGCTAAAAGCTAAAATGTAGTATGGAGCATTTAGTCTTGAGTGTGTGTGTGTGTGTGTGTGCGTGCATCATGTGCGTGATGCTTTTGTTACCTCCAAGATATTTGCCATTGTTATTGCTTCTGTAGGGTCAGTAGATGGAATTTTCAGTAATAAGTTTCAAGATGGAGTAAATGACACGGTGGATACCTTTTATTAACATTTTTCTCACACAATTTCTTCATAAAGTCTATATAGAATACATGAAAAAGAGAAGTACTGTTTATATACAGGTAGAGACAAAGGATGGTGAGGTGCATGGGTGTATCTCAGGGCAAAGGAGCAGTGCACTATGTACACTGGACCATTGTGTTGGCTTCCAGACTCCTTGATAACCTGTAAGTATGATGTAAGCTAATGACTTGGCTAACAAGAATCTTCATCTAATATTGTCTTGTTCTTTGATAACCATTTTTTGCATCGGTCCATTTCAGGATGTGATTGTCAGTATATAACACACACATTGCATTCTTCATGCTTGCTGGTGTTCTTTGACCTTTTTGACTATGTCAGTTGAACATTATATTCATCACAAGTGAATGATGTAGACTAATTTTTCAGCATTATGGTGGATATGTTCGGATCTTACACGTATCTTGATAATAGTGGAAGTGATGACCCCTATATGGCTGCTGTTGAATAGTGTGTTGGCAAGGTTGGTGGCAACAAGTAAGAAAATGATGTGCAAGAATGGTATATAATACCGACAAGATGAAATTAAGACACATGTGCAACATCTGGGTATCTTTATTGTAGACGTTTCGCCATCCAGTGGCTTTATCAATACAAATTCCAGGAATTTGTGTTGATAAAGCCACTGGATGGCGAAACGTTTTACAATAAAGATACCAGATGTTGCACGTGTGTCTTAATTTCAAGAAAAAATGATGTACCTGTCATCTGGTTTTTCTGTTTTGGGTGTAGTTATGAATTTAACCCTTAAATGGTCCAAACGTATATATACGTTTTTTCAATATCTGAAAGTATGTAAAAAAATGTAGATCTTCTCTTTTGTTTTACATTTGAAAATGTGTAAAAAAACTTTTATCTACATTTTTTTTTGTTATATTTGAAAATACGTAAAAAAAAGTAGATCTACTTTTGTAGCTACGAATTTGAACGTCGATCTGTTTGGACCGTTTAAGGGTTAAGGACCTTTATTTTTTCCAGTTGTGTATGAAGTAAGATTGGAAGTAGAGCTTGAAGATTTTTTTTGTCACATTTTTCTAGAAACTCTGGCTGCTTTGTCTGTACACATACTCTTAGGCAGAGCCTTATTGGCGCCTCTCTTGGTTCAAGTATTGTGCCACACTGAGTAGATAAGACTGTGTTCACTAGTAGGTTTCTAGTAAACATGGAATTTCAGCCATGTATCTGATTTGCAGAGAAAGTGGCAATGCCAAGGGGGAAACTAAAGCCTCAATAATCTCACCCCCAAATAAAAATAATAATAAACAGTTTGAAGTGAGTCCCATAGCCTTCACTCTTCCAACCAGCCTGCCACTCTTAAGCTGCTCCTATGTGAAATTCTAAAGCTGCCACTGTGCAGACCAGAAAATCTGGGAAGGAATGTGTTATTGTGTTCCTCCAGTGTGAATTGGATGGAAGGTGTCAACGTTTCTTTCTCAGAGTAAGATGCCTGGAATTTCTAGAGGAATGGTGATATTATTATCCAGGCTCTGCTTCCTGTCTTCACACAACTGCAGACAAACAGTACTTAACCAATTAAGAGAGAAGAAATGGACAGGTACTTCGTTTCTAACACTTCTAACATCGTCCCTTCTCGCTGACGGCCCCACTATTGACACAGACTCCCTCTTTGAATTTTTGTCAGCAACAGCTTTATTACACAAACTTTATATACCTCCAATGCTGTCGCCACTCTACCACACTTACCTTAAATCCCTTCTTGCAGATGGCCCTAGTGTTGACTTACAATCACTTTTTGACTTTTTGTCAGTAAGTGCTTTACTGTACAAACTTTGACACACAGTTCTTAGCATCCCTTCCAGTCCTTTCCTCCCCTCACCTCTGATCCTCCCTCTCTACCTAGCTGTTTATTGCCTCAGCACGATTTTCTGCCCCACAGCACTGTATGACCCTTGTCATTTAGCACTTTCTCTGATTATAATAATAAGACATCAACTTTATGTGTACATCACTCAAGAAATCGTAATGACACGATTGCAAACAAACCATACCACGGGCTGGATTGAACCCGCGGTCAGAGAGTCTCAAAACTCCAGACCGTCGCGTTTGCCACTGGACCAGCTAGCCACAATAAGATTCGTCCAGCTAGGTATATTTCTAAACCATAGGAAGGTTAGCATAGGCACCACTGTGACCACAAATGCAAGTTTTTTATGTATGGTTTATATGCACATCCTTTAGCATGCCTCACAGCCCTTCCTAGCTGTACCTCTGTTTATACTCTTCATCCCTCATTGATCTCTGATCAGGTATATTACACCTTTTAGCACGCCCTACCCTGCAGTGCTATATGACCCTTGTGGGTTTAGCACTTATTTATGATTATAATTTTCCACTTCTGGTGCCCTCATCCTTGCTAACATGGTGCAGAAGCAACAATGTAAGTCGTCACTTCTACCACCATCAGAGACTTTACTAGAGCTAAACATAGCCACCATAATGCAAAAATTTAGAAGTCTACATTATTCCTTGTAATGAATGTGATAAGTGTTACATAGGGTATCTCCACGAGTCATTGTCACTGTGTACATGCAGAATGAATAATGAAAGCAACACATATGTTTTACATTGACGTATAGACGGTTACTTCATAAAAAGCAGATACTAAATTTGATATTAAAGAACAAGACAAAGGTAGATGATTAGAATCTGTCCTTATCAGCACCACAGCACAGGCTGTTTGAGAGGTGGGAAATGGGTACTGTGGGATGGAACAGCTGTAAGGTAAAGACACAGATGAGTCTCGGGGGGGGGGGGGGGGGGTGTTAGGAAGTGTTTCTTCAGTCTCAGGGTAGTTGGCAAGAGGAGTGACCTCGAAGAAGTGATGGAAGCATACTCCATACATAGTTTTTAAGAATAGGTACAATAGGGCCCAAGTAGCTAGGAAAGAGAGAGAGAATCTGGCAAGTGGCAATTTGAGAGGCATGACCAGGAGCTATAACTCAACCCCTGCAACCACATATAGGCGAGTACAGAACCATGGGAGTTTCACGTTATCTAAATCTTAGCTTAAAAAGTTGCAAGTCATCCAGGAACCCATGAACCAGCATAATGCTGCAGTATGGTATACTCCCTGCAGTGCTCCCTTGCCCTAAAATTCCCCTGTGCACCTCCCCATGTATTCTCTACTGACGATAAAGCCCACTGTGTGGTCAAAACATTGTCTTTAATAAAAATATCCACTTGCATCTAGGTATCATTTACTCCACCTTATTGGTATTTATACCATTCCAGTATCATATTTAAATATGTTCTGGCTTAATAACTTGGCCATTAGCATATGAACTTGAAGACAATGGCAGTTTCATGGAGTTCAAATGAAGTTGTGATTTTCTGTCATAAAAATCATGACTGTATACTAATTTTACCAGTCATCATTGAAGAGAACGTCTGAGTGTTACTACTTCCATCCATGTCACGTAGAGTAGTTAGTGAATTAAACTTTAATTCAGATTTTCAGGTTATCAGTCTGGGTAACTGGCTTCTATTATGATATGCATTTTTGTAGGCCATTGCATGCCAGTATATTTCTTTGCAATTATTTTGTTTTCTTTATTTTTCTTGGTTTAATAGCAATTGGAGCAAAGCTTACTAATTATAAAGCTTTAGGCAATGAAACACTTACAATAATCATGATAATGGTAGGGTGTCATTTGACAAACATTTACTGCTGGGAAAAAAAATGTGTGTTGTACAGTGTAAAATAGAATTTTTAAAATAGAATTTATGTAAAGAAAAACTTTTATAAGCTCTCCAGCTGTAGATGCAGCTTAGATCTTTTCTCTATTCTAATATATCTTCTCTGCAGCAGGATGGCTCTTGCAGAACCTTTGTACATATACACGCGCACATGCAGACAGATGTAAACCAGATGTGAAAGAGCGGTTACAAGAATGTCAAAGTCAGTGAAGTTGAGGAGAAATGTGAGGTATTAAAATTTTAAATGCAAAGGCTTGGAATTCCAAATAGATAGCTGATACTGAAATAACTGAAAAAAGGAAGAAAAGAAATTACAGTGGACCTCCGCTTTACGATCAGCTCCCAATGCGACCAATTATGTAAGTGTATTTGTGTAAGTGCGTTTGTACGTGTATGTTTGGGGGTCTGAAATGGACTAATCTAATTCACAACATTTCTTATGGGAACAAATTCGGTCAGTACTGGCACCTGAACATACTTCTGGAATGAAATAATATCGTAAACTGGGGGTCCACTGTACTTTTGGATACTGACAAAAATAAAGCGATGGAATGAGATGCAGTAAGACCATTGATTTTAAAACAATGTGCAGAAGATAAGACACATGCACAGCAGTTGGGTGTCTTACTTATCAACTTGTTGATATATATTTTTTTTTGACAAACAAGCCATATCCCACCGAGGCAAGGTGACCTAAAAAGAAAAATGAAACCTTTCTTGTGCAGATGAGTTATGCTATCCACTTTTGGAAAGTGTTTATGATTTCACTACAAGAGGGAAAAATGGCAGACCTAAAAGACACAGAGGACCCATTAAACTATAGGCCAGTTTTCCTGAGAAGTATTGTGAAACTTAGAAAAAGTTATTACAGGAAAGTGGATAAAATACTTGGGGAGTAAAAACATACTAAATAGTAAGTGTTGTGATTTAGTTTCCTCATGGGGAAATGTCTCAATTGGGGTGCCACAAGGATCTGTGCTTGCTCCAGTGTTGTTAATTTAAATGAGTTGTCAGAAGGAA